CCTCCTCCTCCTCCTCCTCCTCCTCCTCCTCCTCCTCCTCCTCCTTGCGCTCCGAGGCTCCTTGCTGCGGTCCGGCCCGGTGCTCCGCGCGGGGCGCAGCCGCCCGGCGCAGAAGAGCCGCTCCACGGGCGGGGCCCCGCGCCCCGCGGGGGCCCCGCTGCCCCGCAGCGCGTGCCGCGCCTCGCCGATGGTGCCGCGGAAGGCGCGCAACTCCTGCGCCGGGCGGGGCGCGCAAGGTGACCGCGAGGAGGGGCGCGAGGCGGGCAGAGGAGGGCCGCGAGGAGGGCCGCGAGGAGGGGCGCGAGGCGGGGCGCGAGGCGGGCAGAGGGCGAGGAGGGGCGCGAGGAGGGCGGAGGATCGAGGGGCAAGGGGGGCATGGCCGGGGGGGCGCGCAAGATCTACTCCATGATGGGGGATGGGGGGGGGCGAGGGGGCCCGAGACGATCGGCATGCCAATGAATAAGACAACGATCCTCACGGGCGCACCATCGGTGCCCTATCTCGGGGCGCGCCTGGCTAAGGATCCCCCCTAAGCCCTCACTGCGCCGGGCGGGGCGCGGCGAGGGCGGACGCGCGAGCAAAGTCGCGCGTCCTTAATTCGGGTTTTGGACTGTAGGGGGGCCTCCTCGTGAATCTCTGGCGGCAGCTGTGGGCCAGGGCCAGGGGCCCTTCTGGCAGCGCCCGGCCTGGGGGCCCTCGCCGGGCCCCCGGGGCCGTCCACAAGAACGGGGCGGCTACGACGCGGGTTGACGAGGTGTACAGGTCGGGCATGTCCTCCCACAGGCGGATGTTGCAAGAAACATAACAAAGAATCAGAAAGCAAAAACATCAGCAATGAGAAGAGCACGAAAACTTGAGCATTCCTTCTGCAGAGGGACATGCCCGAGGTGAGTGAAGAGCCTGAGCCGGGGATGGGCCCAGACCTCTGCGAGTCGACGTGGTGTGGCCCTGCTCCCTGAGATCTGGGCGTTGCATTTTTTCACAGCGGGCGATGTTGTTTCGATTTGGACCGCGGGGACCCTCACGGGTGGATGCGGCTCCAAAAATGCAACAGAAAGATGAGGTGGACGTGACTTCCGTCGATGTTGCATGTTGTCTCGCAACGTAGGAACTCGGGGTGGCCCCACTGTCAGACTTACCCCCCCCCCGGGTGGGGATGTATCCTGTTCCCCGTCGGGTTTCGTTCGCAAGGCCCATCCCCGCCTGGGCGGGTGACCCGGTCCCAGACCCCCGACGTAATGAATTTTTCGCTACGTCGACCCCCAGAGGTCCCGACCCTTTCCCCATGACCGGCATTGCATCCCGAGTCGTTTTTTGACGCTCCCGAGGCCCGTTGAGGGCCCCCGCAGGCCGAAAATCGGGAAAAACCGCCCGCCATGATTTTTTCATGACTCGAGGGGGTCTGGGTCCCCGCCTGGGCTGGTGACCCGGTGGGGCTGAGATGCCATAGCCCAATGGGGATTGGGATCGGTTGGACGATGCGGAGCTCCATCGCGTTGCTCCTGGCCGCGTCGGCCACCGCGTCCAGCCTGCTCGAGAGGCTGCCCACGGCCCTCGTGGAACGAAAACCTGCATACGCCTCTAAACTTAGGTCGGGCGTGCCCTCCTACAGGCGGACTGGACGAACGAAAAACACGGACTCGAACAATGATCACAGCAAGGTCAAAGAGTACTCAAAACAGAATCCCCAAACTTTTTGTTCTATTATGTTTTGACTGGTTGTGGCTTTGTGGGCTCCGGAAACGGCTGGGCCGTTTTTTCACCGTTTCCAGAAAAAGGTCCCTCGAGCATGGAAACGGCCAAAAAACGGCGACCGGAAACGGCAACAAAAACTGCTCCAGGAATGGAACCGGCGGCAAAAAAACAGCGACGGAACCGGTAGAAAGACGGCGTCGGAACCGGCAAGAAAACGGCAAAACGGAAGCGGTGAAAAAACGAGGAGGAGGAGGAGGGGGAGGAGGAGGAGGAGGAGGAGGAGGAGGAGGGGAGGAGGGGGAGGAGGAGGAGGAGGAGGAGGAGGAGGAGGAGGAGGAGGAGGAGGAGGAGGAGGAGGAGGAGGAGGAGGAGGCCCTGTCGTTTCCAGGGCCCACTAAGGTTTGTGGCTATTCTCAGAGCTTCCTCCTCGGAGCTCCGCGCGCACGTGTCTTGGGGCGACGCTGGGCCCCGGGGGCGCGCTCCGCGGGCCAGGGGCCCAGACGTGTCAGGCCCTGTTTTACCAGCGTGGGGACCTCCTCCTCTTCCTCCTCCCACTCCTCCTCCTCCTCCTCCCCTCTCCTCCTCCTCCTCCTCCCTCCTCCTCCTCTCCTCTCCTCCTCCTCCTCCTCCTCCTCCTCCTCCTCCCCTCGAGTAATGAAAAAATCACGACGGGAGGTTTCTCCTAATTGTCGGCCTTTGGAGGCCCTTACCGGCCCTCGGGAGCGTCAAAAAACGACTCGGGATGCAATGCCGGTCATGGGGAAAGGGTCGGGACCTCTGGGGGTCGACGTAATGAACAAATCATTACGTCGGGGGTCTGGGTTACCAGCCTGGAACATATCCCTGTCCCTGAGCTGGGCATCGCCTCATCACAATGCCAATCTCAGGGATTCCCTGAGTTTTGCAGGGCGCATCCCGAAGATTGGCATCGCCTTTTGGCGCGTCAATCTTGGGGACAGGGATAAGTTCGAGGCTGGTGACTGTTTTGGTCAGTGTAGGAACAACGAAAGGCGACACCAACACCAACGGGGCGAGGAGATGCGCGGAGGCTTAAGGGGGGTCTCCCTGGTGGTGAAGACCCTCCCCCCTCTCGCTCGAGACATCCCCAGCCTCCCGCTCGGGGAGGCATGGTGGCCCTCCTCTCTGGAGGTGGGCCCCCTGGTGGTGGTGGTAACGCTTCTCCTCCCTCCGACAATGCAGGTCTTCCGGAAGTCCTGAATTACTCCAAATCCTTCTTAATCGTCTCCTGGGTCTCCAGGCCCAGACTCGCGCTGCAGAACAAGTCAGGACGACGAGTTGTGCATAGCTTTCGGCACCTAGGGGCCCTCCCCGGGCCCCAGGACCGTCCAGAAACGGCTCAGGGCGCAGGATGGAAGGGCGGCCCGGGGGAAATGGTCGGGGGGAAAGGGTCGGGACTTCCAGGGACCGCGTATACTCCAAATCCCTTCTTCGTCGTCCTCCGGGTCCGGTCTTTTAAGGCGCCCTTTTTGTAAGTGGGGGGGGTCCGGTTTATCAGGGCGCTTTCGTTGGATTGGAGCCTAGGGGGTCCGGTTTATGAGTTCTCCCCGTCGAAGAGGGGGGTCCAGCACAGCAGGTCGCATTTCTTTGGAGGGGGGTCTAGCGTTTTAGGGGGGGGTCGATTAATCCAGACCCCCGACGTAGTGTTTTTTTCACTACGTCGACCCCCAAAGGTCCCGATCCTTTCCCCATGACCAGCATTGCATCCCGAGTCGTTTTTTGACGCTCCCGAGGCCCGGTGAGGGCCCCCGCAGGCCGAAAATCGGGAAAAACCGCCCGCCATGATTTGTTCATGACTGGAGGGGGTCTGGGAAGGAAGGATTCAAAGTAATGTTATGTCGGGCCTGTCCCCCTACAGTCCCTACAGGCTGGGATTTTCGAGGAAAAATCGAAAATCAACAAAAATACTCCAAAAAAGTCAAGAAAATATCATAGAAAAATAATCCCCATACTATTTTTGGATAATTATTATTATTATTATTATTATTATTATTATTATTATTATTATTATTATTATTTTAAATATATTTTATATTTCTCGTAGAGGGACAAGCCCGACTTAAGAGTCATGCAGGTCTGCCGGACGTGCCGAGCTCGTCCCCGGGGATGGCGTGTCGACACCCCGAGCCGGTCGCTCGACGGCCTAGGCCGGAGAGCGACGGCCCGCAGGGGCTTCCAGCGCCGAGCCAAGAGCTCCGCGCGGACCTCGCCATCGCTCGGACGTCCAATTCCCTGTTTTTTTGTCGGCTTCGTGCGTGGCTTTTTCGCCAAATGAGCAAGGATGCTCCTCCCAGACCCCCTCGAGTAATGAAAAAATCATGACGGGAGGTTTTCCTAATTTTCGGCCTCCGGGGCCCCTCACCGGGCCTCGGGAGCGTCAAAAAACGACTCAGGATGCAAAGCCGGTCATGGGGAAAGGGTCGGGACCTCTGGGGGTCGACGTAATGAAAAAATCATTACGTCGGGGGTCTGGGCTCGATGGCCCTCGCCGAAGGAAAAACGCACACGTCCGAGCGATGCCAGGGGACCTCTGCAAGCCTGTGCTCTGCAGACCCCGACGCCCCGACTCTGTCCCGGGGAGCTCCTCGGAGCGCGGAGCGGAGGGGGGGGAGAGCCAGAGGCCGGAGCCGCAGGGCAACCCCAGAGCTCGTTCTGGTCTCCGGGAGAAAACCGCCCGCTGCGGCTTGCTCTGGCTTCCAGCAGGCCGTTTCTTGGCGTTTCCCAATACGCGTGCCCGCAAGCTCTCCAGAAGCTCTGTCGGAAGCTCCTCCCAGTAGCTTCCAGAGCTCCTGGAGAGCATTGTAGGGGGGAGGGGGAAGGGCCAGGGGGGGTGACCCCGGGGTGTAATGTAACGCCTCCCCCCCGCCGTGCGCACGGCGGCAGTGCCCGGAGCGCACTGGGGGGGTAGGGGCGTCACGTTGTAGGGGGGTGGGAGGGGGGGCTGGGGGCTATAATGCCCACTATGCCCCAAACAATGAAGAAACACACTCAATTTTTGTGCCGTTCCCAGCCCCCCGACGCAATGCTGTTTTCACAACGTCGATCCCCAGAGGTCTCCACCCACTCCTGGGGCCGATTTTTCATCCCGGGTCGTGTTTTGACAGCCCCGAGGCCTGGCCAAGGCCCCCAGAAGCCGAACACAGTAACAACAACAACAACAACAACAACAACAACAACAACAACAACAACAACAACAACAACAACAACAACAACAATCATTTTACCCGAACGCGTGGTGTTCTCCCCAGTGCCAGGGTTTTCATACGACACCAGGCAATACCCCCACTTCGTGGGGGGGCATTACAAGCTCTACCAAATATCCAAACGACTCTTCGCGACCACCCAAACCCAGCTTCCCGCCCTATGACGTTGGGACACTTCACTTCGTGGCGTGCGGACGACCGTGGCTACTACACTGGCGTGGGGTACACACCCACAGAACCCAATGGTTTTTGGAGATTTCGGCGTGCGCGCGCGAAGAAAAAACGAATGTGTCCCGCATGGTATTATTTGACAGGGATGATGGCCCTGGCAGGTGCGCAACCGTTGTCGCAGAAGTTCGAAAAAGTTGCTCGCAAAAGCCCGTTTGACAGAAATGTTTAAAAAGTGTTGGGTTTCCTACGAATCCGCAAGAGCGCGCGGGATGAGATTTTGACATTTTTTTGTTGAAAAACCATTGGTTTTTTGATGTTTTTATGTTAAAATCGCTCCGAACACTAAGCTTTTGGAAGGATTTCGTCTTGCGCGCGCGAATGTCCACTTTACCTTATTTTTTGCAAGGGATTCTTGAAATTTGATTATATTTGAACAAGAAATTTCATTTTATAGTGTTTTTTGCAAGGGAAAGCGGATTACAACAAAACAACCGGATCTTGATCACCTCGAATTACCTGAGGCTTCCTCACGAAAATGATGAAAACGTGGCTGCGGCCTAGGCGCGGCGGGGGGGGCGCGCACCAGGGGGCCCAACAATAATTATTCTTTAGAATTAATAATGTTCAACAACATCAACAACAACAACAACATCAGCAACAACAACCGCAGCAGCAACAACAACACCACCACCACCACCAACAACAACAACAAACAACCTCCGTCCTGTGTTTGTCCTGATGCGAGGGGGTCTGGGTTTTGGTAGGCGGCGCGCCCGAGGGGGGAAAAAGAACGGGCGGGCCTTCTCAGAAGGCTCGGAAATCTCCTGGCCTTCTGAGAAGCTGTCCAAGCCTTCCCCGAAGACACGTAAGACTTCTCAGAAGGCCAGAGCGCTTCTGCGGAGGCCTCGATGGGGTCGGAGTAGATCTGGTCGGAGGGTCGCGCAGCATTGCCGATGCATCGGCGATGCATCGGCGACGTCGACGTGAAGCAAATCGGGTTGCACAGCGAGCCGCATCGGCGTTGCATTGGCGATGCGGCGCGATCCTCCGACACCACCTACACTCCGACCCCATCCAGGACGCCCAGATTTTGAGAAGTCCTGCCGCCCTTTGAGAAGCCCTTCTCCTTCTCACTTCCCCCCCTCGCCGCTCGCCGCCGCTTTTCGGGGGGAACGAAAGGGGGGGACAGCAAAGGGTATAGGGTAGAGAATCAGCTCACGCATCTGACTTTCCCGGCGCCCCCCGGCGCCGGGAGGCGCCCGTGCATCGAGGAGCGGGCCCGGCGGCGGGGCCGAGACCAGCTGCACGCAGCAGCTTTCGTAACCCCCCGCCCCTTTCCCTACCGAGACCCCCGACGTCATGACTTTTTCATGACGTCGACCCCCAGAGATCTCGACCCATTCCCCGGGACCGGCTTTGCATCCTGAAGCATTGCTTGACGGTCCCGAGGGCCGGTGAGGGCCTCCAAAGGCCGAAAAGTTAGGAAAAACCTCCCGTCGCGATTTTTTCATAACTCGAGGGGGTCTGGGTACCCTGACCTTCCAGGAGGGCTAAAAAATAGCACCCGACCTCTAAACCTATCCCAGAGCTATTCTACGTCTTGGTTTTAGGCTGTTTCGTTGAGTTGTTTTAGGTTTTTAGGTCTCCAGTGCTAAAAAATAGCTCTCCTGGAAGGTCAGGGGTATAGGCCCCCCCCTGTTCGCTCGCCCCGAGCTCTGCGCCCCCCGAGGGCCGCCAGGAGGCCCCCGAGGCCGTGCTGCCGGGCGAGCCCAGCGGGGACCTCTGTGGGCCCGGGAAGCGGCAGGGCCGTTTTTGTCACCGTTTCTGATGGACCTGTTTTCCACCACCACCACCATAAGTTGGAGGGGGGAAGAAGGTGGAGGAGGAGGAGGAAGAGGAGAAGAGGAGAGGAGGAGGAGGAGGAGGAGGACACCCTCCCCCTCCCACTCATGGTGGTGGTGGTGGGAAACAAGCCCATCAGTTTCCCCAAAAATGTCCCTTGAACATGGAAACGGCCAAAAAACGGCGACCGGAAACGGCAACAAAAACGGCTCCAGGATTGGAGCCGGAGCCCGAACCGGTCAAAAAACGGCGACATGAGCGGGTAAGAAAACGGCCTCGGAACCGGCAAGACAACGGCAAAACGGAACCGGTAACAAAAACGGCCCTGTCGTTTTTCAGGCCCACGAAGGCGGGGACCCGCGCGGCTGCCCCAGGGCGGCCACCTCGCCCGCGGACGCCGCGCGGCGAGACCCCTGCCGGCCCTCCCGCCTCTCGCTGGTCGCCCGCACCTGGGGCGCCGGGGGCCCCCCAAAGATCCAACGCATTGCTGGCCACCCAGACCCCCTCGGGTCATGAAAAAATCATGACGGGAATTTTTTCCTAACTTTTCGGCCTTTCGAGGCCCTGACCGGCCCTCGGGACCGTCAAAAAACGACTCAGGATGAAAAGCCAGTCCTGGGGAATGGGTCGAGATCTCTGGGGGTCGACGTCATGAAAAAATCATGACGTCGGGGGTCTGGGCCCAAAGATCCAACGCATTGCTGGCCACCGCTCGGACGTCCATTCCCTGTGTTTTTTGTTCGGTTTCGTGCGTGGCTTCTTCGCCAAATGAGCATGGATGCTCCTCGATGGTCCTCGCCGAAGGAAACATGCGCACGTCCGAGCGATGCCAAGATTGAAAAAATCAGGACGGAGGCTTTCACCAATGTCGGCCCCTGGGGGCCCTCGCCGAGCCTCGGGACCGTCAGAAAAACGACTCAGGATGAAGAACCGGTCCTGGGGAATGGGTCGAGACTTGCGGGGACCGCGTAGTGAAAAAATCACGACGTCGGATCTCGAGCTCTTGGCATGCGCACAGAAAAAGGGCCCAAGGCCCTGAGATTTTGGCCTCTCAGTTCTTTCGGGCCGGGCGCGTTCGCTTACTTTCGGGCCCCGGGACCCTCACACATCCATCCAGCTCGAAAAATGACGCAAAAAGATGGGGCACGGGGCCGCGGCCGTGTTTGTTGCGATGTTTTTTTTTGCGCAGCGCCAGATTCTCAGGGACCCCCGATGTTCGTCTTAGCCTCCACTTCATATATTTCCAGTCTCTCTGGGGGAATCGACGAGTACTTGTGTCCCTGTGTTGTTTCCGTCCTGAGAACCAGGAGGGGAAATGTGTGGCCCTCTTCGGCCTCAAGAGATCCTCGCCGGGGCCAGAAAAAAGCAAGGACATGTTTGGGGGGCGCGATGTTTGCAACATCTCCCACGGACAAGCTGGTTCGGCCCAGCACAAGACCGCGGAGCGGGTTCGTTTACAAAAACTACATAACCTGGGGGCACGGTGTCTGCACATCAACCCCGCGAACAAGCTGGCCTGGCGCAAGCAGGGGCGGTGGCCGTAAATCGGCCCCCGGTTTGGGCCTTTCTCGGCTTCTGGATACCCACGATGGGCCCCGTGACTGTCCAACAACGACTCGGGATGAAAAGCGGGTCCAGGGAAACGAGTCGGGACTTGTGCTCGTGGGAAGGGGGCGCTCGAGGGGGGGTTCGTTCGCAGATCATGGCCCGAGGCACATGCGCGCACCAGAGGGGGGACCAGGGGATGCATGAAACGAAGAATTTGGCGTTGCGTCAAAGGGGGGGGGGGGGGCGACAAGTGGGTGGGCAAAGAAACGTGCACAGTCCGTGCCCCTTTTAGGCCCCAGAAGGCCCCTTGAGGCACCCACAAGGTGTACGAAGGGTGCCCCTTTCCCCGCCCCTCCATTTGTCGCCCCCCATTACGCAACGCCCGAAAGAAGAAGGAGCCACGAAATCCGGGCATAGATCATGGCCCTGGCCACGATATCTACTCTGGCTAGATTATAGCCATCCACCCCCTCCTGGCACCCCCCGAGCGCCTCGTCCAGGAGCTCTCGGTGCTCGCGCAACCGGGACTCGTTGCCCTTCAGCGTACTGAACATGGCGTCCAGCCTGGCAGAAGAAGGAACAACACGATGTGCATACACTCCAAAAATGCTCGCGTCGTAACATCCCAGACGTGCTCGCGTCGTAACAGACATTCGGATGGAAACTGTTTGGCAACTGTCGGCCCCTGCGGGTCCTCGCCAGGCTGCGAAACCGTCAAAAACAACTCAGGATTACAAACCGGTTACAGATCGGGGATCTCCTGATCCGGGTCAATAGAGACCCGGGCCAGTCAGGCCGTGCAGGATCCTGCAAAACCCTGTAGGGTCCTGCACCCAAGCCCAGGTCAACGCACCCCTGGCCCTGCAAGATCCTGCAAAATCCGTCGCTCGGGCTGACCCCCGTTTGCATTGACCCCCGTCTCTTGAACCGCGATGGGGAGACAACATGGTACCGATACCGCTACTCCCCTTACCTCTCCCAGGGTGCGTTCTGACCAGGATTTCGAGGCGAATCCAGCGGTGGCGACGAGGGCCTCCCAGGAGGTCCAGCAATGGGAAAACGAGGGAAGGGCAGGGGTATGGGTACCTTTTCCTCCTCTGACTCGAACCGCGGACAACGGGTCGGGACTTCCGGGGGCCGCGTATTGGAAAGCAGGACGCTGCAGCCCTGGGTGTGCGCATACACCGATCCTTGCCGGGCCCATCCTGAGCCCAATCTCTGTACGTACGGCCTCCCGGGTCGGCCAAAGAGGCATACCGTGTACGCCCGACCGCAAGAAACCTTCCGCAAGAAACCCAACCTCTGAGACCCCAGGACGTCCAGTGATCACGTCACGCTCTCCATGGCAGAAGCGCCGACACCCAAGAAACCCAGGGCACCCTGGAGGCAAGCAGGGTGTTTCTTGGCATGGGTCTCCACCGCAAAAATCCTGAGCGCAGCATGGTCTTGAACGGGATCGGTGTAGCACGTGCACAGTTCCCCTCGCCCGACCTGAGAGGTGTGGACGTCTCCCCGCCAGGGGGCAGCGCGAACGGCGGGAGTCCAGAGCGCTTGGCGAAGCCGACCGGGTCGAACACCTGGCCCTCCTTGCGGCCGGCGAAGACGAGCAGCTCGTCCAGGCTCGACCTGGTCCACTCCAGGTCCCTCCTATTGCTGAGGAGGTTCTCGCGCATGGCGTCGGCGCGCTGGTGCGTGGACTTCGCTGCAGGCCAGCTGGCGGCCTCCTCCTTCTCCTCGGAGGAGGAGGAACACACTTTTTGATCTGCAGGGCGAGAGCGAACCTCTTCCGCTGAAAGCTAAGTGGGACGCGCACAGCGTTAAGAGGAGGAAGAGGAACACACAAGGCAGAAGCACTAATGTTCGATGGTCCGCGCGGATCTCCGGGTTCGGCGCCGCCCCCGCCCAATGCATGGCGCGCCGTGCCCAGAGATCCGACGTCGTAATTTTTGTCAATACGCGGCCCCCGGAAGCCTCGACCCCTTCCCCGGGACCGGTTCTTCCTCCTGAGCCGTCTTTTTGACGGTCCCCAGGCCCTGCAGGGGCCCCTAGGGGGGGAAATATGCGAAACTTCTGAGTCGTCTTTTTGACATTCCCGAGGCCCTGCAAGGGCCCCCAGGGGGCGAAATATGCGAAAAACCTCCGTCTTGATTTGTTCAATACGTTGGATCTTTGGTCCCGAGGCTCGGCGAGGGCCCTGGGGGGGCGAAGTATGCGAAAAACCTCCCTCTTGATTTTTGTCCATACGTGGGATATTCGGGTGGCGGGGGGCCCCCGGCGCCGAACCGACGCGCCACGTCGACCATCTACGCTCAGGCCGGCGCCCGTGCACCGCGCCATATGGCTGGGCTCCGCCGATGCCCGCTCCGAGACTCGTCGTCGTCGTCGCCGAAGAGAAACGCAACCCAGAGCCCCTACAGTGAAAACGTACAGTAAGGACGCGTGGTAAGGACGCAAGACCCTTGGAGGGCGAAGTTGAAGTATCCTGGCCTGCGGAAATTGCTGGGGACGGGCCGCAGAGGCTGAGGCAGGCAAGGACCCAAGGGTACCCTTGAACAAGTCGTTTGTCCTTACTATGCGCGTTGACTCTACGTCATGATTTTCCCACGACGTCGACCCCAAGAGCTCTCGACCCACATTCCCCGGGACTGGCTTTTCATGCCGAATCGTTTTGTTGACGGTCCCGCGAGGCCCGGTGAGGGCCCTGGAGGCCGAAACTGACGAACAACCTCCCGTCGTGATTCCTCTCGCTTCGCGGGGTGCACGTCAGGAGCACGTACAGTCACGTCGTCGCGGGGCCTCTTGGGAGCCTCTTGGGGGCCTCCTGGAGGCCTCCTGGGAGTTTCTTTTGGCCTCTTGGGGACTTCTTTGGGGCCTTTCCCCCCTCCCTCCTTTTCATACACCCTCCCCATCTTCCCTTCCAGCGCCGGCTGTAATCATGGGCGCCGCAGTGACCAACTTCCACCTGGCTGGCGCTGCGCCGCAGTTCGCCCAGAGGGGGGAAAATAACATTACACTCCAGTCGCTGTGTGGCCTTTGGAGGGCTTTTTGGGGGCCTTTTGGAGGCTTCTGGGAGGCTTCTTGGAGGCTTTTTCAGGGTCTCTTGGGGCCTCCTGGGGCCTCTTGGGGGCGTCTTCGGCCGTCTTGGGGCGCTTTTGCGCCGTTTCGCCCCCTCGGAGGCTGTCTTGGGGGCCTCTCGCGGCCGCATCGGAGCCCTATTGGGGTCCTCTTGGGCCGACTTCGCGGCCTCTTGGACCGTCTTGGGGGCCTCTTTGGGCCGTTTTGGGGCCCTCCTGGGTGTTTTTTGGGCTGTTCTGGGGCGATTCTGGAAGCTGCTTGGGCCGTTTGAAAGTCGAAAAAAGCGAGAACGCTAAAAGATTGCAAAAACCATTGGAAAATAATGATTTCGGCCTCTGGAGGCGCAGTTGTAGGCGCTCTTGGGGCCCTCTTGGGCCGTCCTTGGAGCTTTTGAGGCCGTCTTGGGGCCGTCTTGGGAGCCTCATGGGTCCCCGTTGGGAATATCTTGGGCCGTCTTGGGCCGTCTTGGGGCCGTCTTGGGCCGTCTTGGGGCCATCTTGGGCCATCTTGAGGCCCTCGAGGAGACCCCAGAGGCCCAAGAGGCCGAATGCGTTGATTTTCATAGGTTTTTGTAAGTTTTTAGGGCCCCAGATGGGGGGCGTCACTTTGGTCCGGCGGTGTGGCGCAGCTCCCAGGGGGGGTTAGGGGGGGAGGCATAATAATGTAACACAATACAACATGTGGCAAGTATGCAATCATTGGATAAATTGGACACCCGGAGGCCGAAACTGACGAACAGCCTCCCGTCGTGGATTCATTGGCTCACGCCACACCGCCGACCCCATGGGGCGGCATCAATCGTCCCCCTCGTGGCCTGTCCGGACAGCCTGTGAGGCCCTCTAGACACGTTTTGGAGCCCTCTTGGGACCGTCCTGCCGTTCCCCCGGGCCGTTGGTATGGTTTCTGGGGCCTTCGCGGGGCGCCTGGAGGCCGTCGTGGAGCCTTTGAAAGAATCTCTTGGGGTGCCAGAGGTCAATCTTGGAGGTTTACTGGGCCGTTGTGCGCCTCGTGGAAGCCCAAGAAGCGGACATGCTGAAAATGCACGTTTTCCCTAGGTAATGTGACGGTTTTTGCTTCTGGAGGCCTGCTTGGAGCGCCTCGTGGTCGCGTATGCAAACGTCTTGGACGCCCATGGGGCTGTCTGGAGGCAATCTTGGGCGGTTTGGACCGAATCGTCCCCCGCGTGGGCCGCCCGGACAGCCTTTGGGAGCCCTCTTGACCCGTTTTAGAGCCCTCTTGGGCCCGTCCTGCGGCTTTCCTGGGCCGTTGCTATGGTGACAGGGGTCGATCTTGGAGGTTTATTGGCCCGTTGTGGGCCTCGTGGAAGCCCAAAAAGCGAATATGCTGAAAATGTACGTTTTTACATTGGGAATGGGGCGGTTTTTGCTTCTGGAGGCCTTCTTGGAGCGCCTCGTGGTCGCGTTTTAAAACGTCTTGGACACCCATGGGGCCGTCTGGCGGCGATCTTGGGCGGTTTGGACCGAGTCGTCCCCCGAGTGGGCCGTCCGGACAGCCTTTGGGGGCTCTCTCGCCCCGTTTTGGAGCCCCCTTGGGACCGTCCTGCGGCTTTCCTAGGCCGTTGCTATGGTTTCTGGGGCCTTCGTGGATCGCCCGGACGCCGTCTTGGAGCCTTTTTGGGAGCCGCTTGGGCTGGCGAGGGCCGATCTGGGAGGCTTCTTGGGCCGTTTTGCGATGCGTGGAAGCCGAATGGGCGAATGTGGTGAAAATTTACGCTTTCCCAAAGGAATGGGACGATTTTTGCTTCTGGAGGGTCTCTTTGGGGCGCCTCGTAATATTGTCTCAAACGTCTTGTGGGCTTCTGGAGCCGCGTGGAGGCAATCTTCGGCGTTTTGGGGCGATCTTTCGTCGATTCGTTGCCCTCTTGGACCGTTCTGGGAACCTTTGGAACCTTGTTGGCCCGTTTTGGGGCCCCCTGAGGCTCCATGGATTTGACCCCCACCCCCCCCTCCAACCCGGCCGCACCAAGCCCCCAAGGGAAGGGGTTTGGGGAATCGGAAGCATCTCAGACGCCGTGACCCCAAGGGGTCGGCGGATGACGGGAAGCGTCTTCGAGGAACGAGAAGCGAGCTGGACGTTTTGGCTGAATCCTCCTCGTATCAGTAAGAGATCTCTTAACTATAGGGGGTGGCGGGCTGCATACTATACAGGCTTAGCGGATTCCTCGGGATGGCGATTTTACGTGAGACATCCTCACAAAAAAATATTCGCGACATCGCGTTTAACAAAAACAAGCGTTTCGCTCGAGACATCCTCGAACAATTGATGACAGCGAAATTTCGCCGTCTGTGAAATTTGCGTTTCGCTCGGGACATCCTCCAAAACATGAGATGACGACTGAAGTCTTTAACTAACTCTTATGTTAAGAATTGCGATTTCGCTAGGGACATCCTCAGAAAACGAGCGGCAGCACGGCGGACCAGAACGAAGAGCACGGCAGAAAATGTGCATTTCGCTAGGGACATTCTCAACAAAATGAGATGTCCTCAACGTCGTCTTGATATCGTTCTCGAAGTACCTCAAGATGACGAGATGAGAGGCCAAAAAGCACGTCAAGATGGCTGTCAGAACGATTGGGGGACTTCCGAAAATAGCGATTTCGCTAGGGACATCCTCAAACAGTGAAAAATACACCAGCATCGACTTGACAACTGTTGTTCTTACATAGTTTTGACTTTCCTTTTGAAAAGGCTTCCAGACGGCCCAAGGCAGCCTTCTAAAAATGTCGATGTCGGTAGGGACATCCTCAAAAAATTGATGCGTGCGACATCGCATCGTAACGATTTTAGGAGGGCATCAGGAAGCAAAAGAAGGCCACAGCATGACCCCAAGAGCGCGCTTAAGGTTGCTGAAAATAGTGATTTCGCTAGGGACGTCTTCAAGAAAATAACAAATCGAACAACATCGTTTTGAAAACTGCTGTTTTAACATCGTCTGGGGATCGCTCCTGAAAAGGCTTCTAGATGGTTTAAGCCAGTCATCTAAAAATGGCGATTTCGCTGGGACATCCTGAAAAAATGAATGTATGTAACATCGGACTGTAACGTTTTTGTAAGGCATCAAGAAGGCCCCCAAAGGCCCCAAACAAGCCCAACTTTGACCCCCAGGAGCGCCCTCGAGACGATCCAAAATGGCGATTTCGCCTGAGACATCCTTACAAAAATGAAATGTTCACAACATCGATTTCATCAAAAATGAGCGTTTCGCCTGAGACATCCCTTAAACATGGGAACCCGCGAGTTCGACCGATGTTCAAAAACTAGCGTCTCGCCTGAGACATCCTAACAAAAATGATATCTTGGAGTGGCGGTTTCAATACCTCTCATGTTTAAGATCGCGCTCTCTCTCTGCATACATCCTCAAACAAATCGGGCGGGGCATGGCCGGCGAACAAAAATGCTCATTCGTTCTTCACGTCTATTCTGCCGTGCTCTTTCGTTCTTGGGGTCTATTCTGAAATGCTCCTTGTTTTTTTGTGCCTAGCCTATTCTGCCATGCTCCTGGCCAGCTTCTGTCACATTCCTTTGTTCTTGGGGCTTATGATGCCGTGCTCCTGGTCGTTTTCTGCCGTGCTCCTTAGCTCTTGGGGCACATTCTGCCGTGCTCCTTCGCTTTCGGGGTTTATTCTGCCGTGCTCCTTGTGTTTTTCTTGCATACTCCTTCTTCCTTGGGGCGTATTATGCTGTATTCTTGCATCTATCGTGCCGTGCTCCTTAGCTCTCGCGGTCTATTCTGCCGTGCTCCTGGTCACTGGTCGTGTTTTGCAATGCTCCTTCTTTCCTGGCGCCTATTCTGCCGTGCTCCTCAGCTCTTGGGGTCTATTCTGCCGTGCTCCTGTTTGTTTTTCTGTCATGCTCCTTCGCTCTTGGGGCCTCTTCTGCCGTGCTCCTCAACTCTTGGGGTCTATTCTGCCGTGCTCTTTGTTTTTTTCTCTGTCGTGCTCCTTCGCTCATGGGGCCTATTCTGCCGTGCTCCTGGTTTTTTTCTGCCGTGCTCCTTAACTCTGGGGTCTATTCTGCCGTGGTCCTGGTCTTTTTCTGCCGTGCCCCTGAGCTCTGGGGGTCTATTCTGCCGTGCTCCTGGTCATTTTCTGCCGTGCTTCTTCGCACTTGGGGCATCTTCTGCGGGGCTCCTTGTCTCTTGGGTTCTATTCTGCCGTGCTCCTCGTCTTGTTCTGGTTTGCTCCTTCGCTCTTCGGGCCTATTCTGTCGTGCTCCTGGTCTTTTCTGTCGTACTCCTTGGCTCCTCGGGCCTTTTCTGCTGTGTTTCGGTCTTTTCTGCCGTCGTCCTTAGCTCTTGGGGCATCTTCTGGCGTCCTCCTGGTTTTTTTTTCTGGCGTCTTTTTCGCTCTTGGGGCCTATTATGCCGTGCTCCTTAGCTCTTGGGGTCTATTCTGCCGTGCTCCTGGTCTTTTTCTGCCGTGCTCGGCAGCTCTTGGAGTCTATTCTGCCATGCTCCTGGTTTGTTTCCGACGTGCTCCTTCGCTCATGGAGCCTATTCTGCTGTGCTCCTGGTCTTTGTCTGCCGTGCTCCTGCTTTTTTTTTTTCTGCCGTGCTCCTTCGCACTTGGGGTATATTCTGCCGTGTTCCTTGTCTGTTGGGTTCTATTATGCTGTGCTCCTCGTCTTTCTCTGCCGTGCTCCTTCGCACTTGGGGTCTATTTTCCCGCACTCCTTCAGCTCTCGGGGTCTACTCTGGCGTGCTTCTGTTTTTTTTCTGCCGTGCTCCTTCGCTCTTGGGGCCTATTCTGCCGTGCTCTTGGTCATTCTCTGCCGTGCTCCTTAGCTTTTGGGGTCTATCCTGCCGTGCTCCTGGTCTTTCTCTGCCGTGCTCCTTCGCACTTGAGGCATATCCAACCCTGCTCCTTAGCTCCTGGGGTCTATTCTGCCGTGCTCCTGGTCTTTTTCTGCCGTGCTCCTTCGCTCTTGGGGCCTAATCTGCCGTGCGCCTGGTCTTTTTCTGCCTGCTCCTTAGCTCTTGAGGTCTATTCTGCCCTGCTCCTGGTCATTTTCTGCCGTGCTCCTTAGCTTTTGGGGTGTATTCTGCCGTGCTCATTTGCTCTTGGGGTCTATTCTGCTGTGTTCCTTGTCTTTCTCTGCCGTGCTCCTTCGCTCTTGGGGCCTATTCTGCCGTGCTCCTCATCTTCTTCTGCCGTGTGCGCCCAGAAGCTCTGCCAAAACGACCACCGCGACGATCCGAACGGCAGATACAGGAACACGGCAGAACACACAGAGAACACAGAGGCACGGCAGAACACAGAAGCACGGCAGAACAGGAGCACGGCAGAACATACAGGAGCACAGCAAAACACACCCCGCACGCACGCCGACACGCGCGCCACGGCATACCTGCGCGGCATAACAACAACAGAGCAGTTTCCACATGCTTGGTGGACTAAAGCGACGCTTCCCGTTCTTGTCCGGTCAGGTTCTTGCCACACCGCGGGGGGTCTGGGTAAATCTTTATTCTTCGGCTCGGAATGCCGAACAAAAACGAAACGATGCGCCATCGCACCGTCCCCGGGCCGAAGATCGACGACGCCTCGGGAGACGCCCACGCGGTGCGGCGCACACGCGTCGTCCGCGGAGAGAGATGGGCCATCTGTCTGCTTTGAGCAGGGACCGACCGTCCGGGTATTCCTGTAGGCCTACCACGACATGTTCTTAGAACCCACACATGTTCTAAGAACGCAAACAATGTACTTTGAACATACGCCCGACGTGCTCAATCAAGACAGTAGCCAGAAATGTTCTAAGGACATGTCGTGCAGACCACAAAGGGTACTTAGAACATTCCTGGGTGGGCCTATAGGCGAGCCTGGACACTTCGACACTGCTTGACTGCCTCGATCCTCCTCGCCCTCCTCCTCCTCCTCGGGCAGCCCGGCCTCCCGGCGCTTGTGGGCCCGGGCCGCCCTGCCAAGCTCCTTCGGGATCCACCAAAGGGGGGTGACCCTGAGGGGGGGCATGAATTCGATCCGCTGGTGCACCGAACTGCCGCAAACAGGTGCCCCCTGCATGACCCACATAATTGTCGGCAACCATCGGGAGCTGCCAGCGGCTGGGGGGCACCTGTTTTGGGTGGTTCGGTGGGGAAAACGATCGAAATCATACACGCACACACACAAACCCAGACCCCCTCGAGAAAATGAAAAAATCATGACGGGAAGTTTCTCGTAATTTTCGGCCTCCGGGGGCCCTCACCGGGCCTCGGGAGCGTCAAAAAACGACTCAGGACGAGAAACCGGTCATGGGGAAAGGGTCGGGACCTCCGGGGGTCGACGTAATGAAAAAATCATTACGTCGGGGGTCTGGTGGGGGGGGGGCACACACCCCAGGGCACACACACCCCCTTGAGGGACCCCGATCCTCGAGGTCGTGGACCTCGTCCATGAAGGCGCGGTTGGCCACAAGCTCCTGCTTGTTCCTCTCCGCGTTCCTCTTCACGGCCTCGAGCCTGGCCGGAGGGCGCTTGCCGCGCACGCACACGATGAGAATCGACGCTGCAAAGCAGTTGCAACGTCGCCCCCCCAAAAAATCCTGACCCGAGCCCCAAGCTCCATCTGGATACTCCAGATTGCGTAATAAAAGGGAGGGGGTCCCAATCCTCCCAGACCACAAGTTTTAGACCCCCCCAGACCATCCACGAAAGGGCGGCGCTTTGCCCAGACCCCCCCCAACCCTTCAAGACAGATCAAATCAGACCCCCCCGCCAAATGTACCCCCTCTACTTTATCATGGAATCCGGAGTATCTTTCTGCATCATTTGTCGAGTCGGATCGATCTGTGAGGGTCCCGGGGCCCGAATGGGACCGAAGACGCCCGTGGTGCAAACATTGCAGAAAGCCAGGATCTCAGGGACTGCGCACCCCAGACCCCCGACGTAATTTACGTCGACCCCAGGGGTCCCGACCCTTTCCCAAGGACCAGCTTTGCATCCTGAGTCGTTTTTTGACGCTCCCGAGGCCCCGTGAGGGCCCCCCGAGGACGAAAAGTAGGAAAAACCTCCCGTCGTGATTTTTCATTGCTCGAGGGGGTCTGGGACCTACGCCCCTCCTGACCAGGTCGATCCCAGGCCCAGGGCTGGTGCGCGCGCCTTCTGGGCCAAGCCAGGAGGGCGTATGCGCCGATCCGGTGCCCAGGAGGGGCTGTGGCCAGGACCGGTGGTCCTGAAAAAAAAACACGACGGGAGGTTTTTCGCCACTTTCGGCCTCTGGGGTCCACACGCCAATCGACGCCAATCGACCAAAGGGTCGGCATTGGGAAGGCTCAACAGGCTCCCATGACTTGCCACCGACCCAGACCCCCGACGTAATGATTTTTTCATTACGTCGACCCCCAGAGGTCCCGACCCTTTCCCCATGACCGACTTTGCATCCTGAGTCGTTGTTTGACGCTCCCGAGGCCCGGTGAGGGGCCCCAGAGGCCGAAAATTAGGAAAAGCCTCCCGTCGTGATTTTGTCCATTGCTCGAGGGGGTCTGGGGAGGTAGCTGGGTCGGAGCAGGGCGAGTGGAGACAGTGGCAGCCCACAGCCGGTCCCAGGACCCCTCCTGGGGGATCCACACGCGCCAGCCCCGCAAACTGCGCCCAACGCGTGGAGAGGAGTGGGCCCCCGGAAGGCCCGCTGCCTCGAGGCGCCCGCCTCTGAGTGTATCCCCAGACCCCCTCGGGCAATGAAAAAATCACGACGGGAGGTTTTTCCTAACTTTTCCGCCTTTGGAGGCCCTTTATCGGCCCTCGGGACCGTCAAAAAGCGACTCGGGATGAACAACCGGTCCCGGAGAATGGGTCGAGATCTCTGGGGGCCGACGTCATGAAAAAATCATGACGTCGGGGGTCTGGGGACCCCGGCGCCATGACTCGGTCGCGACGTGTCGGGAGCGGCAAAGAGGGGGGTGTCCAAGAGGGGGGGGTGCAAATCATGGCCGGCGGCATGTGCGCGGCCCAGCGGGGGGGCCGGGAACGTAATGAAATAAGAAGAGGCGCCATGAAATCTGGGGAAATATCATGGCCCCCGCCATGATATCCACCCCCCCCTAGTCATCACCCCCCTCTTTTCCGCCCCCGAACGTGGACCCCCGGCGGTCTGGACCCGTTCCCCGGGACCGGTTCTCCGCCCCGAAGACTTGGTGGACGGCCCCTAGGGCCTGCCAGGGCCTCCCGAGGCCGAAAAAAGGATGGCAAACCCGCCGTCGCGATGCTGTCACAGCGCGAGGGGGGCGGGGTGTACCCTTGGCTCAAGTCGGGCCTGCCCCCCTACAGGGGGATCTTCGACGAAACATGAAAAAGATACCCCCAAAGAAGAATCAAAACATAATCCGGGGGCCATTTCTTCTTCGTATCTCTTGGCCTTCTTGGGGCATTTCTGGGGCATGTCCTATGTTTCGTAGAAAATCATCCCCCCATATAAGGGGACAGGCCCGACCGGACCGTTGGCGCCCTCCGACCGGAGGTACAGGGAGCCCATGTCCTCCCTGGGCGCGCAGAAGGGCCGGCCAGCCAGGGTCGGCCCCGCGCCCCGGGCCGGCACGGAGCAGACGGAGCACTGGCTGGCGAAGCGCTGCACGGGGCTGGCGACGCTGGCAGGGGAAGAAACAGCGGCACACGGGCAGCCACTTCGGGAGGGCGCGCCGCGCCGGACGGTCCAGACCCCCTCGCGCTGCGAAGGACTCACGAAGGGACAATTTTTCAACAATGGCGGCCTCCAGGGGTACACCAGGTCCCGGGACCGTCCAAAAACGACGCAGGACGAAAAGCTGGTCCTGGGGAAGGGGTCCAGACCTCTGGGGGTCGACGTTTACACCAGAGTAGAACCTCAATCAATGCATGGTGGGAGATCGATCAGGAGATCGACCGGGAACCCGGGAACCCGGAACCCACCGAAATCGGCCCGGAAACAATAACCAGGAACCCGGGAACCCGGAACCGGGAACCCCTGGGAACCCAGCCGACCACCAAGGTCGGCGGGAAACTTTCGCCAAATCTTTCAATTTCCGCTAGGACCCCTGGACTCCTGGGAGGAGGAGGAGGAGGAGGAGGAGGAGGAGGAAGAGGAGGAGGAGGAGGAGGAGGGAGGAGGAGGAGGAAGAGGAGAGGAGGAGGAGGGAGGAGGAGGAGGAGGAGGAGGAGGAGGAGGAGGAGGAGGAGGAGGAGGAGGAGGGAGGAGGAGGAGGAGGAGGAGGAGGAGGAGAGGAGGCGAGGAGGAGGAGGAGGACGAGGAGGAGGAGGAGGAAGGAGGGAGGAGGAGGAGGAGGAGGAGGATGAGGATGAGGATGATGAGGATGAGGAGGATGAGGAGGGAGGAGGAGGAGGAGGAGGAGGAGGAGGAGGAGGAGGAGGAGCAACATCACGACGCAAAGGGTCTGGGCTCCTGGATCGGCGCTGGCTCCTCTGCCCCCCGAGAGGCGGCGCCTCCCAGGCCGCCCCCAGCTGGCGCGCTCCGAGCGCGCGAGGGCCCCGGGTCGTGCGTGCGTTGCCCTCGTGCTTGCCGCACGCCCCCGCCTCTCCCGGAGGAGGAGGAGGAGGAGGAGGAGGAGGAGGAGGAGGAGGAGGAGGAGGAGGAGGAGGATAGGAGGAGGAGGAGGAGGAGGAGGAGGAGGAGGAGAAGGAGGAGGAGGAGGAGCTATGGAGCTATGGATATTGCGACCATGTCGGTTACAAGCATGAGACTCTTATACATCGAGGTGACTGACAGACACGCGCGTGTGTGCACAAACGATGCGAGTCGGGTATACGAAAAGGACCTTCAATTACCTGCTGCGGGACACCGTGCCACCTCACGAATCACATGTTCACCCTATTGCCATGTCCACCAACCCACGAAGACATTGTGACCAAAAAGCCCATTGAATGGCCAGGCGAAAGCAAAAGAGAGACATCCCCCTTCATCGTGATGCTGAAGGGACTCAACATGGACTTGCACCTGCGCGCCACAAACTGTACGCGACGATGGTTCCAGAACGCCTGACCAGCCTGCCAGCACAACCTGAACAGTGCCAGGCCGTAAACTACCCTGCACATATCTCTCAAAATGCATGCGCCCAGACCAATACAAAAAGGCAAACTGAACACAAAGCTTCCCACATAGACAGCGAACAAACTCATGTTCCTCCACTTGACTGTAAGGTGTGTTGTGCCGACAGCGATAAACAATAACATCCAACCAGGCTGCACAAAAAGATGACGGGATACGCCCAGCCGACAGGGGGACGATTTGAAGGGCACGAGGCCCGCGGCACGTCCTCTCGCCTGCCGACTGGGACGGACCGTGCTGAAGAACAGTAGGAAGGGATACAACATGCCCAGCCTGCACCTTGCCACCACGAAAGCGACATGGGCGAAGTAAAACAACACCGCACGTGGCCTGCACCGCCAAAGTACTGCTGAGGAAAAAGAAAATCGCCGAGCCTGACTTCTCCCCCTCTTAGTCACCCGTGGGGCGCGCCTGACCAGAATCATGGAACTCCAGAAGCAAACTCGCCCAACCGGGGTGTCGCAAGATCGCGACGGCAACGCGGAGGGAAGGGCATGCCTAGCAACCAGGGAGCCAAAACCAAATGGCAGCGGTCGCTCGGAGCCCCTGATCTTGAGCCAAAATGGCTACGGAGGAGGAGGAGGAGGAGGAGGAGGAGGAGGAGGAGGAGGAGGAAGGCCCGACGCTGCCCCTGGGGCTGGCGCTGCCTCTCGGAGGCGACGAGGGGGGCGAATATAGCCCAGGGGGGGAGCAGGATGCCTTCGGCGAGGCTCCCGGGCGAAGGCGTGCAACGCCCGCCCCTGCGCTAGTCGCCCCTATCGCCACCTCCGACCCTCCCGAGTCGCCTGTGTTGACGCTTCCGGGGCCCGGCGGGGACTCCCACGGAGGCTGAGGGCGCCGATCCCAGAAGCCCGCGAAGGAGCGCCGGAAGTTGCTGTCCGTACACCGCAGTATTCTTCCTCGAGCTGGCCTGCGAGGAGACCCGCCTGCAAGGGAGCCGCACGGGTACAGTCGGGGCGTTGACCTAAGGAACCTTAGATAAGGAACGAGGCCCCTTGATCCCAAAAGTTAAGCTTCGATTTCCCATCGAAAACCTCAGGAAAACCAAAGCCAAACTGTAAAACAGTCAAGGAACACCGAGCCCCTCCCCAAAGAGAAGGGTTCCTTCTTCAGGGCCCCGACTGTATGCTGGCCGTCGCACGAAGCATGGTGTACATCATATCATGCGGAGCGTCTCACACTCGCGAGCCCGCCCCGAAGAAGGCTCCCTCACAGCGTTCCGCTAGAGGTTCCCAAGGGATGTCATCAGAGCCACGGAAGAGTCCCACAGGGGGGGACGGGCTTTGTGGGCCCCGGAAACGGCAGGGCCGTTTTTTTCACCGTTTCCAAAAAATGTCCATTGAAAATGGAAACGGCAAAAAAACGGCGACCGGAAACGGCAAAAAAACGGCTCCAGGATCGGAACTGGAGCCGGAACCGGTCAAAAAACGGTGACGGAACCGGTAAAAAAACACGGCGTCGGAACCGGCAAAAAAAACGGCAGAACGGAACCGGTAACAAAAACGGCCCTGTCGTTTTCAGGGCCCACCAAATGCTGGCCGTCGCACGAGGCATGGTGTACATCAGATCATGTGGAGCGTCTCACACTCGCGAGCCCGCCCCGAAGAATGCTCCCTCAAAGCATTCCGCTAGAGGTTCCCAAGGGATGCAATCAGAACCACAGAAGAGTCTCACAGGGGGGGACGGGCTTTGTGGGCCCCGGAAACGGCAGGGCCGTTTTTTTCACCGTTTCCAAAAAATGTCCATTGAAAATGGAAACGGCAAAAAAACGGCGACCGGAAACGGCAAAAAAACGGCTCCAGGATCGGAACTGGAGCCGGAACCGGTCAAAAAACGGCGACGGAACCGGTAAAAAACGGCGCTGGAACCGGTAACAAAAACGGCAGAACGGAACCGGTAAAAAAACGGCCCTGTCGTTTTCAGGGCCCACCAAATGCTGGCCGTCGACCGAGGCATGGTGTACATCATATCGTGTGGAGCGTCTACCACTCGCGAGCCCGCCCCGAAGACTGCTCCCTGACAGCGTTTCGCTAGGGAGGTTCCCAATGGATGCAATCAGAGCCACAGAAGAGTCCCACAAGGGGGGGACGGGTACAGTCGGGGCCCTGAAGAAGGAACCCTTTTCGTTGGGGAGGGGCTCCGTGTTCCTTAAGTGTTTCGCAGCTTGCCGTGGATTTTCCTTAGGTTTTCGATACGAAATCGAAGTTCAACTTGTGGAAAATAGGGGCCTCGTTCCTTATTTAGGGTTCCTTCAACGCCTCGACTGTAGCCCGAGATCATGTGGCCCGACAGCCGTTTCGCCTGACGCTTCCTCCCGTGTTTTCAGGACTCGTGCTCTCGCCTCGATGCCCGCTGCATGGCTGGTCTGGACGTCCACGATCCGTTTTAACAAAAAAATGTGCTGGGGTGTACATGGCCGTGCACTCACCCCATGTCCTCTGTACAGTCGGGGCGTTGACCTAAGGAACCCTAAATAAGGAACGAGGCCACTTTTCTCCATGAGTTAAACTTCGATTTCATATCGAAAATCTAGGGACAACCTAAGGCAAGCTGCGAAACAATCAAGGAACACGGAGCCCCTCCCCATTGAAAAGGGTTCCTTCTTCAGCGCCCCAACTGTACTCCTCGAACCTCTTCACCCTTGCTGCTACTAGAGTGCTCGATTGGGGGTGCTTTCCTGATTATCCGTTGCACGGTAGTTTTTTGCTGCGAGCGCAGCATCATGGCAAGATCAGTCAGCATTGAATCGCTAAATCGGATCACATCGAAATGTGCGTCAGATCGGGCTGCATCGGCGCGGAATCGAAGTCGAATCGGGACGGCTGCACCATGATGCAAAACAACCACATGCAAAGATCGGGCCGCATCGGATCGACGGAATATTGGAATCAAATCCAAAACCTGCGATGCCTCGATTTTTTCAATGCGTGGTCCCCGCCGACCCATTCCCCAAGACGGCTTCTTATCATCCCGAGGGCCCCGAAGGGCCGAAAATTACAAAAAGCACCTTCCGTCGTATTTCTGTCACCGCAAGATCATGTCTGGGATCGGAAGGTGGGCGTTCTTGATTCATTGTTCTGCCAATCGGCGTCGGCCCTCCCACCCCCCCCCTCCCAGCCCCCCTATGGAGTAGGTCTTGGCCGTTTTTGGCGCCTGTTTCGACCAGGTGGGGTCCCTCCCACATCGGCCGCACTGCTGCAAACAGTCGCACTAAGCAGAGGTCCGGAGCCACCCCCCCCCCTCCCCCCCCCCTTCCGCGCAATGTCGAAACGCCGAATAAAAAACGCTCACAAGGGACGCTGTGCTGGTCACCCTCCGTCCTATTCGTGGCCATCGCAAGACCATGTCTGGGATCGGACCGTGCGGGCCAGAATCGACGTCGAATCGGATCGATCGGATCGGAAGGGGAGGAGGAGAAGGAGGAGGAGGAGGACGAGGAGGAGGAGGAGGAGGACGAGGAGGAGGAGGAGGACGAGGAGGAGGAGGAGGAGGAGGAGGAGGAGGAGGAGGAGGAGGAGGAGGAGGACGAGGAGGAGGAGGAGGACGAGGAGGAGGAGGAGGAGGACGAGGAGGAGGAGGAGGAGAGGAGGAGGAGGAGGGAGGAGGAGGCGGAGGAGGAGGAGGGAGGAGGAGGAGGAGGAGGAGGAGGAGAGGAGGAGGAGGAGGAGGAGGAGGAGGGAAGGAGAGGAGGCGGAGGAGAGGAGGAGGAGGTGAGGAGGAGGAGGAGGAGGAGGGAGGAGGGGAGGAAGGAGGAGGAGGAGAGGGGGAGGAGGAGGAGGAGGAGGAGGAGGAGGATGAGGAGGAGGAGGGAGGAGGAAAGGGAGGAGGAGGAGGAGAGGAGGGGGGAGGAGGAGGAGGACCTCTCCTGGGCACCTCCCTGCCCCCGGCCCGCCGCAGGTTCGGTGCGCGGCCCGGGCCGCGCGCGGGGCTGGCGACGCTGCCCCGCGGCGAGACCCCCGCGCCCGGGGCGTCCAGGCCGCGCTCGCCGAAGAGCGCGTCCAGGCGCTCCTCGCTTTAGAGGCCCCCTCGAGTAATGAAAAAATCATGACGGGACGTTTTTCGTAATTTTCGGCCTCCGGGGGCCCTCACCGGGCCTCGGGAGCGTCAAAAAACGACTCGGGATGCAGAGCCGGTCCTGGGGAAAGGGTCGGGACCTCTCGGGGTCGACGTAATGAAAAAATCATTACGTCGGGAATCATGAGATACTCCAAATCCCTTAGTGATCGTCCAGCGATCGCCCTCGGGGATCTTCTGACCCGGGTCAATCCAGACCCGGGTCAGCAGGAAACCAAAACCTGCAATGCAGGAAAAAAAACTGCAACGCAGGTCTTCGCAAACCTGGGTCAGCCGATATGTGCGGCCGCCTCGCGGCCACGAGCGGCTCGCCAACCCGGGTCAGCCAGAGGGGGTCTTCGCAGGATCCTGCAGGATCCGGTGCCCTGGCTGACCCCCGTTTGCATTGACCCCCGTCTCAAGGCTCCCGACGCCCAATCGCCCAGTGATCGCCGGTATGGGCCCGATCGCACACCCCGTCAAGGAGCGCTCCCGTTTGTCATCGGGGGCCTATCGCCGATCCACCGGCGATGCACTCCAAATTCCTTATTAATCGTCCCCCGGGTCCGGTTTTTTAAGGCGCCCTTGTTGTAACTGGGGGGTCCTGTTGATTAGGGCGCTTTCTTTGGATTGGAGCTCAGGGGGTCCTGTTTATCAGGGCGCCCCGTCGAAGAGGGGTGTCCGGAACATTAGGTCGCATTTGGAGGGGGGGTCGGTTTTTCAGGGGGGGGTCGATTAATAAGGGATTTGGGGTGAACTTGAAGGTTCGGGGATCCGCGCGGATCTCTAAAGGGGCCCAGGTACACACAAATAAATAGACACAAATCGCAGGATTCCCCATATATTGTTTTGGCATATTTTTGGACGTTTTCGTCTCCCCCCACTCCAAATATTTTCGCATATTTTTGGGGGAATCGACGATTCATTGTGTCTGTGTGTTTTTTCCCCTCCTGAATCTCTTGGATCGGCGCCGGACCAAAACTGGCGGCGCCTCTGGCACCGCCCCATGGCGGCCATTGCCATGGCGCGCCTCCGCACGCCAAGGAGGGGGGTCCAGTGCGGATCAAAGGAACCCGCGCGGATCTCTGAGCGTACAAGGGGGGGGGAAGCGAGGGACGTACGGAAAGGAACAGAGGGGGCCACGAGATCAATTCGGGGATGGACAGAACCTCCTTTAGTAAAACGCGGTTTAGTGAACATGACCTCGGGCCCAAACCCGGCGGGCGCAAGCCTGAAAAATGACGGCCGCGGCGCCCTCTCGAGAACCGAAAACGGACAATTCACCAATCGACGTGTCAGGGTGGGGCTTCTGTCCACCCCCGATCAATGGAGATATCGTAGCCGAAGCGAGGATGTCAATGCCCCCTACCTTGACGACTGTAGATTTGCTGAGGGGATGGGGAGGTCATACATGGATGCTGAGGCGGCTTGCACTTGGCTTAACATAGCTTGCAAGTGGATAAGAATTGCCCTGAATGGCTTCCCATCAGGGCTAAGAGGGCTGTACCCGCTTCGCGCAGTTATCGAACCCATCCAAGCCACTCAGGGCACCTGTAGACCACTTAACCAAGAAGGGTCTTAACCCCCCTCCGATAATGGGAAACAGCAATTTGTTGCGCAGGCTTTTTGACGGATCAGAACTCCCAACAATACTTGGAACACAAACACTCCCCCGCGGCTGCCACCGCTGATGATTGGTGGAGGATCCCTGATGATCGTGATGATGTTGCAGATGATGATGATGATGATGATGATGATGAAGATGATGATGATGATGATGATGATGATGATGATGATGATGATGATGATGATAATGATGATGATGATGATGATGATGGTGATGACGATGACGATGACGATGACGATGATGATGATGATGATGATGATGATGATGATGATGATGATGATGGTGGTGTTGGTGATGATGATGCTGCTAATGCTGCTAATAATGCTGATGATCATGATGATGGCGGTGTTGGTGTTTATGATGATGATGATGATGATGATGATGATGATGATGATGATGATGATGATGATGATGATGATGATGATAATGATGACGACAATGATGATGACGATGATGATGACGACGACGACGATGATGATGATGATGATGTTGACGACGAGAAGGGGAATGACGGTTGTAATTGCCAGACGAGTGTTCAAAGGGGGCTGGCTAGAATTACAGACCCTCTAACATCCACTTGTAACTTGGAGGCGGCCGGGGGTTCTGAGTTGGATGAGCCTTGATAGAATCCATCTAGAACGGTTAAGTCGGGCGTGTCCCCCTACAGGGGGATTTTCGACGAAAAATGAAACATACTTTAAACAAGCTCCAACGTGGTCAAAAAATACTCCACAAATGGTCCCCTGACTTTTTTGACTATTTTTGAATTTTCCCCCTGTAGACGGACCAGCCCGACTTAATAGAAAAGCGATGCAACCAAATCCGCTCAAAATCGGTCTCCGGACCACTCCAGGCGGCCATCTGCTGCAATTTGTCACCCCAGATCCATTACTGCCCTGGGGCCGGGAAAACGGCCCCCGAGAGCAAAGAAGCAAAAATCCGAACTGAACCCATAATCTCAGACCTGCCTTGCCCCCATTGCTGCTCGCCGGAACCAATGATGCGCCACCTCAGAGACACCCTGCATGCTTCAACCCCCCCTGTTCCCTTAGCAACCCTGCCCCTCTTCTCGCTTCGACGTCGTCGTCGTCGTCATCGTCGTCGTCGTCGTCCTCGTCGTGGTAGTCGCCGTCGTCGTCGTCGCCTGTGGCCGCCCCCGAGCTCCGAGCGGCTCAGCGCCGAGGCGCGGCGCTGCCGGGCCTCCGCGGCGCTCTGCGCCTTCGAGGCGCCCACGACGCCGCCCCGGTCCTCACATGGAGGCCTCCCAGATGGGGGCCGAGCTGGTTCGGGCAGGGGATCGACTACAGCGTATTTGGGTGACCAGAACAGGGGGTCCAGCTGAAAAGGAGTGGTTCAAAAACATTGGGGCAATCGTACTGCAAATGTACTGCGCCGGAGAACTGTATGGCATTGTACTGCAAGTGATGCGTGGCACGCCACAATGCAGCAATGCATTTGCGCCCCGGAATGTACTGCACGCCCCAAATGTATAGCAGCCCCACTATCACTCTCTTGCACCCCCACCTTATCGCTGGAACCCCTGTTGGGTCAACCCGAGCGTAAGGGCACGACCACAAGAAACCTTCCACAAGAAACCCAGCCCTGAGACCCCAGGGCGTCCATTGACTTTTGGTGTGGGGACGTCACGCTTCCCATGGCAAAACCATCGAAAACCAAGAAACCCAGTGCACCCTGGAGGCAAGCAGGATGTTTCTTGGCACGAGTCTCAACTACACTGCGGGGCGCACAGAGACATACATCCCCAGGACGACAGTTTGTTGCTCCTGGGCCCGGAACGGCAGTTGGAAGTCTTGGGCAGAAGCGTCTCAGAGAACCGCCGTGGGATCCAATGTAGTTCGCGCGGATCCAATTTGAAATTCGTTTCTGCTTCGGTGGGTCCGATTCTCGTCAGCGCGGATCCGGATCCGAATCTTCTGGATCTGCGCCTGGCTATTTTTTCCACGCCGGGTCCGTTATCTACACCGCTGTAGAGTCGTGCAATGAAGGCGGGGACCTGGGAGAAAAATCGGATCCGCGGACCCGCCCGCGGAAGGGGGTTCGGCCATCAACGTCCCAAAGTAGGTCCTGCGCCGTCCTGCGCACGCCCATCCGCTCTTTCCGCGCATGCGGGCCCCACTCAACATGACAACATCTCTCTCCTCACGGTTGCTGCACGCAGCTCGTTCAGACGCCATCCGTTCGGCGGCGCCGGTGTCCTCTCGCAAACTCCACGTCGCCGTGCTCCCTTCGCGACGAAAGTCTTTCGTCCTGCGTGAGTGCTAGTACTATATGTCCTCGGAGGCGCGCGTCTGACTCGAACATCTAGTATACCCATCTTGTAGTAGATCGTTTCCCGAACGGTGTGGCCAGAAAGCGTCGCGGGCCGCTCCTGGGGGGGCACCTCACACATATATGTGATACGTTTGGGCGACGCCGATACAGGATTGCTTTACTCGAGCATTGATTCGCTCGTCGAGTCTACGAACAAATATGTACCATGTGCCGCAGACCTACGAACATGTTCACGTGTGTTTCGCACATTCGATGAGCAAACCAAGTTTGGGGTGAGTGGATTCTGTGGTCGATCCCCTACTCGACTGATGGGGTCGGAGGACCGCGTCGCATCGCCAGAGCATCCGCGAAGCGGCTCAATGTGGAGCCCGACTTCCTCCACGCCGACGTCGCCGATGCATCGCGACCGTCGCCGATGCATCGACGACGCATCGGCGATACATCACCGATGCCTCGGGGATGCATCGGCGAGGCAGCGCGATGCTCCGACCCCATCTGCTCGGACACCACTTGGCAGGCCTAGAGTCCTGGACCGCGTCCCAGATGATCGGGGGCCGCCACAGGTGTCCCTGGCCCAAGGTGTACCCAGACGTGCAACAGCTTCGGCCTCTGGGGTCCCTGACCCCAGTGCCGTCGAAGAGCGACCGGGGACGGAACCCGTCCCAAAGGTCAGGTACCCATACCGCTTCTCCCCAGACTTCTCCTGGGGCGCGTTCTGGCCGGAACTTCCAGGCGAAGCCAGCGGTGGCGACGCGGGCCTCCCAAGAGGCCCCCAGAGGGAAAAAGCAAGGGAAGGGTAGCGGTATGGGAGGAGGAGGAGGAGGAGGAGGAGGAGGAGGAGGAGGAGGAGGAGGAGAACTGTGTCCTCCCTCGAGCTGCTGGGTGCCCCGTGCCGGAGCACGGTCGGGGCGCCGCGGGCCTGGGTCCCCCGACCGTCGCCCCACTCGTGGGGCCCCCGCGCGGGGCCCCCTGGGCCTCGCGAGGGGCGCTGGCTCCGGGAGGCCGTGGGGGCCCCCTCGCAAAGCCTTATGGGGGCACCTCGCCGCCGTCGTCGCCGCCGTCGCCGCCGCCCTCGTCGTCGTCGTCGCCGTCGCCGTCGTCGCCGTCGCCGTCGTCGCCGTCGCCGCCGCCGCCACGCTCGCCTGCCTCTTCGGCCTCTGCGAGGCTTCCGGTGGGCGCCGCAGCGGCTGCGCGGTGGCCTATAGCGGACCGCCCTCGCGGCACGCCGCGCGGAGAGAGGAGGGCGCCCAGGCGCGGCCGCTCGCGCGGGCAGAGCGCGGAGCTGTCGGCGCCGTCGGCCCCATTCTTCCGCCGCTCACCCGCAGTCGGGGCCTTGACCTGAGGAGCCCAAAGCAAGGAGCGAGGCCCCTTTTCCCATGAGATAAACTTCGGTTTCCCATGGAAGCCCTGGAGAAAACCCAGGGCGAGCTGTAAAACAATCAAGGAACGCCGAGCCCCTCCCCAACGAAAAGGGTTCCTTCTTCAAGGCCCCGACTGTAGAGGCCTCCCAGATGGTGTCCGCGCAAGTGGGGCCGCAGGATCGCGACGCATCGGCGATGCATCGGCGAGGCATCGGCGATGCATCCGCGACGCCGACGTGGAGAACATCGGGCTCCACATCGAGCCGCGTCGGCGATGCATCGGCGACGTGGGGCGATGCTTCGGCCCCCACCTTCTCGAACCCCATCTGGGAGGCCGCTCTGGGGAGACCACCAGGCACCGATACCGCTACTCCCCGAAGCTCCCCTGGGGGTGCGCTCTGACCAGAACCTCGGAGCGAATCCGGGGAGGGGGGCGACGAGGGCCTCCCGGGAGGCCCCAGCAGAGGCGAAGACGAGGGCAGGGCAGCGATGTCGGCAACTTCTCCTCCTCCCCAGACCCCCGACGTCATGATTTGTTCATGACGTCGACCCCCAGAGGTCCCGACCCTTTCCCCGGGACCGGCTTTGCATCCTGAGTCGTTTTCTGACGCTCCCGAGGCTCGGTGAGGGCCCCCGGAGGCCGAAAATTAGGAAAAGCCTCCCGTCGTGATTTTTTCATAACTCGAGGGGGTCTGGGGACCCGGGGCCCTGGCGCGCTCGGAGCGCGCCAGCTGGGGGCGGCCTGGGAGGCGCCGCCTCTCGCGGGGGGGGGGGGCCAACGCCGATCCAGGAGTCCAGACCCTCTGCGTCGTGATGTTGTTCCCAATCAGTGCTTGCACTGAAGGGGTCCTAGCGGAGCTTGGAAGATTTGGCGAAAGTCTCCCGCCGACCTTGGTGGTCGGCTGGGTGCCCAGACCCCCTCCCCAGACCCACTCGAGTACTGAAAAAATCATGACGGGAGGTTTTTCCTAATTTTCGGCCTCCAGGGGCCCTCACCGGCCCTCGGGGGCGTCAAAAACCGACTCGGGATGCAAAGCCGGTCCCGGGGAATGGGTCCAGATCTCTGGGGGTCGACGTCATGAAAAAATCATGACGTCGGGGGTCTGGGTCGGAGGCCCACCGTAGGCCCACCGCAGGCCAGGGACGCGCCCGGCAGCACCCGAAGCTTGCCTCGTGCAGGCCCGCCGGAACGGACGACCTGCGCGGGAGCCCCTCCGCGGGCGCGGCGCCGGGCGCGGGCGAGCTGCTGCCCACGGCGTCGCCGAGCAGCATATGGCGCGCGCGCGGGGCGAGCGGAGGGCGGAGGAGGCGGCGGAGGAGGGGAGGGAAGCGGTGTTCCCAGACCCCCTCGAGCCATGAAAAAAGTCACGACGGGAGGCTGTTCCTAAGTTTCGGCCTTTGGAGGCCCTTACCGGCCCTCGGGACCGTCAAAAAACGACTCAGGATGAAAAACCGATCCCGGGGAATGGGTCGAGATCTCTGGGGGTCGACGTCATGAAAAAATCATGCCGTCGGGGTCTGGGTTCGGGCGTTGCCAAAACTGGGTTTAGTGGGACCTGGTTTAACGATGTGGGCTGGGGGACGCCCCCCCCCCCTGCCCCTTTCCACTTACCGGAACTGCCGTCACCCGAAAAGCACCAGCTACGGCAGACCTGGTTTGGTGATTCTGGCAGATTCAGGGGCTCTGGGGCCCTACTACTGACCGGGTCCCCTCACCTGGGGTCCTGGCTATACCCGAGTGTGACCTCCTCGGAGGCGTGCGTCCGAGGAGGAGGAGGAGGAGGAGGAGGAGGAGGAAGAGGAGGAGGAGGAGGAGGAGGAGGAGGAGGAGGAGGAGAAGAAGGGGGAAGGGGAGGAGGAGGAGGAGGAGGAGGAGGAGGAGGAGGAGGAGGAGAAGGAGAAGGAGGAGGAGGAGGAGGAGGAGGAGGAGGAGGAAGAGGAGGATAGAATTAGGTCGGGCATGTCCCCCTACAGGGGGATTTTAGACGAACAGTTCACAACATCCCAAAAATATTCAAACATATCCCCCCCAACAAAAACTAGAACTCATGTACCCAGACTACTTTTGTACTGCGTTTGAAATTTCCTCCTGTAAAGGGACAGGCCCGACTTAGGATAGGAGATGGAAATCCGACACCAGCACCAGCATTAGATGCTCCTTCTGGGTACCTTCATGGAGCCACTCGTTCCACTCGTGCGTCGAAGCTGCGTCGAACCTGAGTCGAACCTGAGTCGAACCTGCGTCGAAGCTGCGTCGAAGCTGTGTCGAACCTGAGTCGAATCTGAGTCGAATCTGAGTCGAACTTGAGTCGAACTTGAGTCGAACTTGAGTCGAACCTGAGTCGAATAGATCCGTTAGGTGGGCCCCAGGAAGGTCCCCAGAACGAGCATCGAGCCAGCAAGGACCACCCGCGCGAGGAGCCAGGCGTGGTCTCCCAGATCCCAGCTCGGGGGGGGCTCGTGGAACTCGTGCTGGAAATGACCTCCCCTGGTCTTGGACGCCCGGAATGGATACGGAAAAAATGGGTGCAATGCCCAACAACAATTTAACGGGCGAAGAACGGTATGAAATAAACTTTTTCGCCGTCGGGGGCGACTGCCCCTGGGCGGCTGGAAAGTATATACCCTTACGGTGGCACCGTAGGGGTATAAACTTTCCAGCCGCCCAGGGGCAGGTGTCCCCGACGGCGACAAAGAGTATTTTATACCGTTCTTCGCCCGCTGAGTTTTGGACGCCCGGAATGGATACGGAAAAAATGGGTGCAATGCCCAACAACATTTGAAAGTGGCCCAGGGGCACACAAATAAATACACACACGCAAACAACAGGAGTCCCCACTTTGTCCGATACTTGTTGGAATTTCGTCTTCCCCCCCCCACCACTTCCGATATTTTCGCATATTTTCAGAGGAATCGATGACTAATTGTGTCAGTGTGTTTTTCCTCCTGACTATTGTTGGCCAGAGCCCACAGCGGCCGCTGCTGGGGGCAGGCGACTTTTTGTCCTCAGAAAAACAAATTGCGCGGCGACGCGGACAGCGATCGAGTCCTGCTCAAAAGGAACAGGAATTACTCTTGGGCATCGTACCCCACCTTTCCGTACCCTGGGTTTCTGAAAATAAGCGCGGGGGGTGGCCCCCGACGGGGGTCAACCTCGACTCGTCGTCGCGTTGCGACGGGGGTCGGAGCGCCTTCGGCGCGCGGTGGCTGCCCGCGACGGGGGTCGAGGTGGGGCTGCCGGCGGGGGTGACGCCCCCCCGACGCTTATTAAGAAACTCGGAGTACTCATTTCGATCGTCCCGACTTGTGGTGGTGGAGTCGCTTCTCCTTCCCCCCAGAAGAGGGACAATCGGGTCGGGCGAAAGGGGGGGATAGCAAAGGGGGGGTTTGAGAATCAGCTCACGCAGCTGATTTTCCCGGCGCCTCCCGGCGCCGGAGGCGGCCATGCATCGAGGAATGGGCCCCTCGGTGGGGCCGAAACCAGCTGCATGCAGCAAATTTCGTAACCCCCCCTTTCCCAATCCCCCCCTTTCGTCCGGCCCGAGAAGAGGGACAAAAGGGTAGGGCAGCCGCGGGGCACGGCGTGGAGCCCGCCGCGCGGGCGGCGCGCGCGCGCACGCCGGTGCGGGCCCCCCCAGGCCCGGCCTGAGCTCCTAGAAATGGTTGCGGCCAGCGCCTTGCTGCAAGGGGCCCAGACCCCCTGGGGCAGTGAACAGATCATGACGGTAGGTTGCTCCGAATGTTCGGCCTCCAGGGGCCCTTGCCGGGCCTCGAGACCGTCAAAGAACGATGCATGATGAGAAACTGGTCCTGGGGACCAGGCCGAGAACCTGGGGGATGGCCGTACTGAGAAAAGTCGCGACGTCGGAGGTGTGGGGGGGGAACTCGCCATGGCGCGACCCATCATGCGGTGAGATTTCGAGCAGGGGATCGACTTCAGAATTCACGTGCCCCTGACTCGATTTGTCGGTCGGATCTGCGAAACATGTAGACCGAACGCTCCGTGGATCGATCTGTGGAACACTGTACGTTTGTTCCGCAGGCTCGGCGGAACAATCAATTTCGGGATGCCTTAACTCGGTCGTCGGCCCCCTGCACGGAACAGGTGGCGACATCCGAGCCCATGGACTCCCCTGAATCGATGGGCGGCGGGGGTAAGGCTCGGTTTTCGTCACGCGTTCGCCGATTGCAGAGCGCTATCTCCCCGCCGCACGCCGAGTTGCACGAATCGTTGATCGGCGAGGGTGGGTTTCAGATTTCGCCGACGAGTGAATGCATCGGATAGGGAACCATTGAATAGAAGCTGGTGGAACACCAATCGAGGCTTGGCCATGGATATCACCGCCGCCCCTCACAGGTAGGGAATCACCTGTGGTCTCAAACCATGCCTGAACAGTCGTCCCACTCGTAAGGACTTTAGACAACAGAAAAGTATGCAAACAAATGTCTAAACTAATCACAGACATTTAAACGCACACAAGCTATGTTGTACTATGTTGGATGTTCCTCGTGTAGGGAACAGGCCCGACTTAACGCCATGCCACACAAGCGGAAGGCGCGCAAAGCAATGTGATTGAACACGTGCCCAGATATACAGCGCGCTTTTGCACAGATCTGCAGCCATTTGGCCCACTTCCTCCCGTCGCCTCCTGCTCCCCACTGCCGTTTCGGCTCGACACGGCTGGGGCATCGTGCCGTCGCCGTGCCGCCCTGCCCTGCACCCGGAGGGCGAAGGTCTTCGGTCACATCGTCTTCTGTCTAAGAGCATCTATAACTCTGTGACCCGATGTAACGCGACCTTGGTTTCTCGAACAGAGGCATCGCGCCTTGAGCCGGCAGGACAAACAGGGGCCCCCCGCCCCCCGACCGGGCCCCAACCCCGCATCACCACCGCATCCCCAGGGCTGTACTGAAGCAGACCGCGGAATTTCCTAAATCGAGGATTCGGCTTTACGACAGCGAAGAAGCGGCTTTACTAAAACGAGAAACCGGTATTAAAGCGAGGAAGCGGCTTTAGTAAGGGCGCGCCGCTCGATTCGTTCCGAAAAAAAAAAAAAAAACTACGCTTTACTAAAGCGACAAGAAAGCGTTAGTACAACGGACGAACGGTTGGGGTAAATTGCGCGCGCAAGTTTCGCAACTCCCGTAAAATCTGGCCCAGGACTCCAGGAGCGAGGGCGGGGCGTAAGTTCGCCCGTCGGCCCGGGCCCCGTCGCCGCCGTCGCCGCGATGTCCGTCGTCGCCGCCGTCTCAGTTGCCGCCGTCGTCGCCGTCCGCGCAGGCGCCGCCGTCGTCGTCGCCGTCGCCATCGTCGTCGCCGCCACGCCCACGCATTCACCTTCTTACCGGCGGCGGGTCGCGCGCGACCGCGCGCGCCACTGCGCTCGCATCTCCGCTCGTCCGACGGGGGCCGGGGCGGACATCATGATTTTTGCTGCGCTCGCAAATCGTTGAAAGTAATAATGGGAACAAAAAAACATCTGATCCGGGTCGTCCGCGCGGATTTCTTGGATCGGCGCCGGATCCAAAGGGAAGGCGCCAGAGACGTCGCCAGGGGTGTCGTCGCTAAGAACTCTGCTCGGACAAACGAAATTCCACCAGCCCTCTGGGCGTAGGTGGTCTAGAACAGATCCTCTTCCACCCCTCCCTCTTCCCCCTTGGGGAGGGGTTTACCCCTCCCCCTACCCCCTCCCCTGGACCTGGACGGAGGGTTCCCCGAGCGGTCGGACGGCTCTTTTAGCGCCAAGATGGCTTCAAGAGCGCGTCAGAGAGCCCAAGATGAGCTCCAAGATGGCTCAAGATAGCGCAAGATCGCTCGAGATGGCTCCTAAGATGGTTCCAAGAGGCCCAAAGACGGCCCCAAGACGGCGCCAAGTGGCCAATGAGCTCCCCAAGGAGGCCCCGAAGAGGCCAAAATCGTCCCAAAACCTTAGGAAACTCAATGTTTTTTGCTTTCTCCCCGTTTCGCTTCCGATGGCCATCCAAGGCCTCAAGATGGCTCCAAGATGGCCCAAGAGGGCCCCACAAGAGGGCCAAGAGAGCCCCAAGACGGCCCCAAGAGCGCCCAAGAGCGCTCCAAGAGCGCCCCAAGAGCGCCCCAAGAGGCGATGTTTGGAGCTCCTGAGGGGGGAGGCTAATTAGGGAACCCCCCTTCGTTGATCGATCTCCTCCAAGATGGCCCCAAGAGCGCCCCTACAGCCCCCAAGAGCGCCCCAAGAGCGCTCCAAGAGGCGCCCAGACGGCCCCAAGAGGCGCCCAAGAGGCCTCCAAGAGGCTCCCAAGAGATCCCCAAGAAGCCTCAAGAAGATCTCCGAAATGCATTTAAGACGCTTCTGGCTCTTCGGTCAGCCGTCATCTTCAATTTCTCATCCCCCTCTTCCTCCTCCTCCTCCTCCTTCTCCTCCTTCTCCTCCTTCTCCTCCCTCTGCTCCTTCTCCTCCTTCTCGTCCTCCTCGTCCTCTCCCTACTCCACATCCTCCTCCTCATTCTCCTCCTCCTCCTCCTCCTCCTCTTCCTCCCCCTCCCCCTCCGACGAGGATTCCTTCTCCATCCTCCCCCTCTTGGGGTACGTGACAGCTTCCCCCGCCCTTTGTTATTCTGCATGCTCCACGACTTCCCTGATCACCTCACTCCCCTGGGCATCGTTTCTGGATGGGCTGGTGGGGATACGCGAAGCGTCAACAATTCCATGGTCATGCCGCTCCTCTTCTTCGAATGAAAAGTCATTCGTGGGCGAAAAACATATCCATACCCGCGGCTTCGTGGGCTGGACCCCTGGGCCGCGACCCAGTGGATGTGGGGCGCTTTTCGGGGATGCCCCGCTCGGAATGATGTCTCCAGGATCGAGCTGTAAGTCGGGCGTGTCCCCCTACAGGCGGATTTTCGACGATCAAAATTTTCAAAAAATGCCTCCCTCAGGTCCCACAGAGCCCACTAGTCTCACAATTCCCCAGGTCTCGATGGGCCCCGCAGGTCCCGCATTTCCAGCGGATGGCGCGCGCGGCGTGCCATCGGTCCCCAGACGGATCGGGTCCGCTCGGACGCCCATGCGATGGCCAAATTGTCCCTTGGGGCCATCCTGATTTCTGTCGAGGCGCGCATGAGCTGCGATGGCGACGCCGGCGCGCGCTAGGGGTATCGCAGGTGCGCCGCTCTATTGCGGGCCGCCGTCGGTTCGATGCGGATTGGGCGCCATTGGGATCTATATCTGTTCCAAGTAGCCCCAAGTTCGTCTCGATGGCTCTCCCATTGCGTCGGCTCGGATGCGAATTAGATTTGGATTCAACGCCCCTGGGTCGCACGATGATTCATAAAATTGCAAATGCGCGCGCGTGAGTCCAACGTATACCATATTATGCTCAATAGCGAATTTATAACATTTCAAACCGGAAGTATGGAAACTCTCAGGGTCGATGTTGCGCTTTTTCGACGGCCGCGGGTGGCTTCCCGCCAAGTTCGTTTTGCGGGTCGCGGCAGAAAATATTTAAAAAACAGTCTCTCCCCCCAAACCCCCCACCATGAGAAAAAAAATGAGAAGCGGCGCAGCCCCCCCCCCCACCATGAAGACAAGCCCCCCCAAAAAAAAAGGAGAAGCGGCGCAGCCGCTTCTCCTCTATTTTTATTTTATATATATACATATATATAATGATAATAACAATAAATAATAAATAATAATAATAATAATAATAATAATAATAATAATAATAATAATAATAATAATAATAACAATAATAATAAAACTGCCGCGTGCATTTTTTGGTGTGCGTGTGCGCGCGCGCGTGTGCGTGTGTGGTGGTGGGGGGCGCGCCGCGTCGTGCGCCTGGCAATCCCGAGTGGGCGCCCCGCGCAGAATTTTCCCATCCGTTTCCCCCCCCCTCGCCGCGGCGTTCCGTTCGCGCTTCGTGGCGCTGACTTCGGCGGTCCGCTTGGGAGACTCGCGCGCCCCGCAGGCCCCGCACATCCCGCAGGCCCCGCATTCCCAGCGGACGGCGCGTGCGGCGCGATGGGGATCCCCAGGCACGCTTGAGTGCACGCAGGCCCCCCGGGTTCCACAGGTGTCGCAGGTCTCGCAGGCCCCGCGTGCACCGCGGGTCCCACAGGCCCCACATGTCGCACAGGTCTCGCAGGTCTCGCAGGTCTCGCAGGTCCCGCAGGACCCACAGGTCCCACAGGTCCCGCAGGTTTCACAGAGCCCACTAGTTCTACAGTCCTCGCAAGTCCCTGATGTCCAGCGAATGGCGCGCGTGGCGCGCCGGGGATCCCCGGACACGCTAAGTGCAGGTAGGGCCCCAATGTCCCACAGGTGTCGCATGTCTCCCAAGTCCCACGGGTGCCTCAGATCCCACGGGCCCAAGATTACGCACAGGTGTGTCGCACGTCGCGCAGGTCTCACGCGACCCACAGTCCCACTGGTCTCACAGGTCCCACCGGTTCCGCAGGCCCCACACGTCCCAGAGCTCCCCCAGGTCCTACAGGTCCCACAGAGCCCACTAGTCTCACAGTTCCCCAGGTCTCAAGGGCCCCGCATTTCCTGCGGATGGCGCGCGCGGCGCGCCAGGGATCCCCAGACGGATCGGGTCTGCTCGGACGCCCATGCGATGGCCAATGTGTTCCTCGGGGCCATCCTGATTTCTGTCGAGGCGCGCATGAGCTGCGAGGGCGACGCCGGCGCGCGCCAGGGGTAGCGCTTGCGCGCCGCTCCATTGCGGGCCGCCGTCGGTTCGATGCGGATTGGGCGCCATTGCGATCTAGATCGGTTCCATGTGACCCCATGTTCGTCTCGATGGCTCTCCCATTGTGTCGGCTCGGATGCGAGGTCCCGCAGGTTCCACAGGGCCCACAGTTCCCACAGGTCCCGCAGGGTCCACAGGTCCCGCAGGTCCCACAGTTCCCCGAGAACCCACAGGTCCTACAGGATTCCCAGGTCCCATAGGTCCCTCAGATCCCACCTGGTCCCGCAAGTCCCACAGGTCCCACAAGTCCCACAGAGCCCACTAGTCCCACAGACCCCCAGGCCTCGCAAGTCCCACATGTCCAGCGGATGGCGCGCGCGGCGCGCGCGGCGCGCCGGGGATCCCCGGACACGCTAAGTGCAGGTAGGTCCCCAGGTCTCACAGGGGTCGCAGGTCCCCGAGGTCTCACATGTCCCACGGGTCCCACACACCCCACACGTCGCACAGGTGTGGGGTGTTCCAGGGTGCCGCAGGACCCGCAGGTCCCACGGGCCCCACGGGTTCGACAGGTTCCACAGGTCCCGCAGGTCCCACAGATCCCACAGGACCCACAAGTCCCACAGGTTCCACAGGTCCCGCTGGCCCCACAGATCCCATAGGTCTCCCCAGATCCCACTAGGCCAACAGGTCCCGCAGGTCCCATAGGTCCCCCAGGTTCCGCAAATCCCACCAGTCCCACAGCCCCCGCAGGTCCCGCATCTCCAGCGGATGGCGCGCGCGGCGCGCGAGGGATCCCCGGACACGCTAAGTGCAGGTAGGGCCCCACATCCGAAAGGTGTTGCAGGTCTCGCATGTCCCAATCGGAGGTCGTGCAATTTCCTGGCCCTGGCTCGCGCGGCGGCGGGCCGCGCCGTTGCGCGCGCGCGGCGCGGTGGGGGCCCTGGGCGCGCTGAGTGCAGAGCGGGCTGGGGCGTCGCGCGCCGGGGGCCGCTCGCGGTGGTCGCGGCGCGCGCTGGCCCAGCCGCCGCGTGCGCATCGCCGCCAGAGAATTGCGCGCAAAGTGCGCGCATTATCGCCTGTTTCCAGCGGGCCCTGGGCGCAACTGGGACAAACCGCGCTCTTCGGGCGGCGTCTCCACATGTTTTTGTTGTTGCTGTGCGTTTGAGTTCGAATTTGACGTGGTTCAGGAGAGCGGGTACAACATTCCATAGATGTTAGCGTAGTTTTGTTTGAAGGAAGTGATTTCCTGCCGATTTCGTTTTGCGTTGCGCAGCCAAAAGAAACAGAAAACAAAACGTCCCCCAAAACCCACCACCATGAACAAAATGCGAAGCTGCCCCCCCACCACCCCACCACCCGTCACACACAATGACATAAACGCACCAGAAAGCACCCTAACCGAGAACGACAATGTTTCGGAGCATGCGCGCAGTAATTGGAGCCACCTTGGCTGTAAGGCGCTCTTTTTTCGAGTGCGCAGCGTCTTGGAACGCTTAGCGTGTATAGCGATTGGCGGCTGTTCACCCCCTGTCTACGCCCCTACTTAGCGTGTTCGTTCCTGCGTTGCTTAGCGTGTAAACGCCTTCGGTTTCGCAAGGCCCGAAAAGCGATACACGCTATATGCGCGTTCTGTCCAGTAGTCAAAACAAGAAACCCGACCATGTTTTGACTATTTTTGAATTTACCCCCTGTAGAGGGACAGGCCCGCCTTAAATCGAGCTCCGAAACCCAGACCGCGACGGCGCGGATATGGATGCCCTCGCCGCTCGTGGGTCTCCGTCGGCTCGCCTCGTGCTCCCGCTCGTCCTGGAGCACGTCGCGCAAGCACTCGAAGGTCGCCCGCTTCAGCGACAGCGGGCCGGACTGCGCCTGCCGGGCGAGCCACCGCATGAGGAAGGTCGTCGTCGTCGCCGCCGCCGCCGCCACCGCCATCGCCGCCGCCGCCGTCACCGTCGTCGTCGACATCGTCGTCGTCGTCGTTGTCGTCGCTCTCGGGGTCGTTGTCGTGGTCGTCGTCGTCCTCCTCCTCCTCCTCTTCCTCCTCGGCGGCGTCGTCGTCTTCCACCTCGTCGTCGGCATCCGCATCCCCAGAAGCTCGGGCGTTGCATTTGTTTTTTCACATCGGGCGTCTTCCCCTGGTTTCGGACCCTGGGACCCTCACTTATCGATCCGGCTGGAGAAATGCGGCAGAGAGATGAAGCCTGGGACTCCGAGGCTGCACTACGTCGTTGCTCCCAATCACCATGTGGCGCCGGGTCCTTGTTTTGAGGAGGCGGCGCTCCGCGTCCTCCTTCTTCATTCCTCCTCCCCCTCCTCTTTCCACCCGGCCCTGCCTCTCGCACCCAACTCCGGCGCACCCCCCATACGCTTTGTGGTCCCATAGGAGGTGGTGCCGCACAGCGTGCCCCAGCCCATGTCGGCACACCTTTCACACGCTTCGTGGCCCCATGAAAAAATTCACCGAATCCTTCAGTGGGTGGCGCCGAAAAGCGAACCCCAGCCCATCTCGGGACACTTTCTGCGCGTTCGTGGGCCAATCAGAAACTCCACGGAAGCCCGAAGCCCCCAGGGGTGTTACGACATAACGTGCCCCAGCCCATGTTGGCGCACGTTTCACACGTCTGGTGGCACCACGAGGAACTTCACCGAGGCACCCAGGGGATGGCGCCGCAGAGCGTGCCCCACACCATATTGGCACACCTTGCACACGCCTCATGGCCCCATAGGGAACTCCACGGAAACCTATAAAGTGGTGCCGCATAGAATGCCCCAACTGATTTCGGCACACCCACACGCTTCGTGGGCCCATGAGGAGCTTCGTTGCCGCATAGCGTCCCCAAGACAATTTCTGACACACCCCTCACACTCTCCGTCGCAACAATCCGAAACCCCGCCTCCTCTTCCTCATGCCCTCTTCCACCTGCTCCTCCTCTGCCTCCATCTCCTCATCCTCCTCCTCGCCTGAGCGGCCCCTCCCTGCGTGGGCCGGCCCGGGCGTTCCCGATGCAAACTTCGGAGCGGCGTTGCCTCTGGGAGCCCGCCATCAAGAAGCACGGGCCCCCCCAAACCGGCAGTACCAGACAGGGCGTAGCCATGAATAGGCGCATGCAATAGGTCCAGGATGTCTTCTGTGCCCTTCGTGACGTTCTCCTCCTCGTCCTCCTCTTCCTCCTCCTCATCCTCCTTCTCCTGGCGAACACCAGTGATGCCGCACAGCACGCTGGCAACAAAGTGCAGGAGCCCGACGCCTTCATCAGCTACATTGCTGAAACCAGCGTGTGCGAGGAAGACGAGAAGTGGCAACAGACTCTGGCCCGGCTCCGCGAGCGGAAGAGTAGGGACACAGCCCGACGTTTTCAGCTACAGCGCCCAAAGAAGCGCGTGTAAGAAGAACGGGCAGTGGCAGCAGGCTCTGGCTAGGCTCCTGGACACGGAGATGAAGCTAGAGCCCGACGTCCTCAGCTACAGCGTTGAAGCCAGCGCGTGCAAGAAAGGCGAGCAATGGCAGCAGGCTCTGGCTGGTGTGCGAGAGGCCGGAGGCAGGCCGAGCGAAACGTGCGGGGCGGGCCACGATGAGCTACAATGCTGGGAGCAGTCCGTGCGAGCGAGGGGGTGCGCAGCGGCAGCCGACGCTGGCGCTGCGAGAAGAGCGCGGGCGGGCCACGATCAGCTACAACGCTGGGAGCAGTCCGTGCGAGAAAAGGGGTGCGCAGTGGCAGCCGACGCTGGCGCTGCGGGAAAGGTGCGGGTGGGCCACGATCAGAAACGCTGGGAGCAACCTGTGCGAGAAGGGGACTCGCAGTGGCAGCCGACGCTGGCGCTGAACGAAACGTGCGGGTGGGCCACGATAAGCCACAACGCTGGGAGCAGCCCGTGCGAGAGAGGGGGCGCGCAATGACAGCCGAAGCTGGCGCTGCGAGACGCGCGGGCGGGCCACGATCAGAAACGCTGGGGGCAACCTGTGAGAGAAGGGGACTCGCAGTGGCAGCGGGCGCTGGCGCTGCGAAAACAGTGCCGTGCGGTGCGAGAGGGCGATGCGAGAAGAGGGAGGCGAAGTCGGAGCCATACGTCACCCGCGAGAGGCGGGAGGAGTCGGCGCGGTTCCCAGCCCCTGCCATCCACCCTCTGCCTTTCTCCCTCCCCCCCTCGTCGCCACGGCTGGGCGCGGATGAAAGCGGCACGGATCCCACACCACTGCGCGAAGTACAATTATGTGAGAGTTGGGAGTCGAAGTCCGAACCCGACACGATCAGCTACAGCGCGGGGGATCGGGGCGAACCGCTGAGAGCAGTTTCGTGCGAGAAGGGCGGCAGAAACTCGGGCGACGCAACTTCCTGCGAGAAGTGGGGGGCGAAGCTGGAGACCAAACCCGTCATAGAGACGCAGTGAGACGACGGTCGAGCCCAACGCCATCAGCTACAACAGACAAGGAGGGACGCTGGTGGCCGCTAGGAGTACGACGTCCTCAGCTGCAGCGCTAGGATCAGGGCAACGCTGGGGCCAGCGCGAGCAGCGGAATCAGCTACAACGCTGGGGACAGATCGTGCGAGAAGAAGGGCAACGGCAGCTCCGACACCACTGCGAGAGGTGGGAGGCGAAGCTGGAGCCCCAGTCTCGACTGTTGCTACAGTGCGGGGATCGGGTCGTGCGCAAACCCAGGCAAAGGCAGCGCATGCTGTTGCCGCAACGGTCGGACGGGCATGTCACCAACTACAGCGCTGGGATCAGCTCACGTGCGGAATGGCAAGGGAGCAGCCGTGCACGGCAGGGTTGCAATCCACCGGGAGCTCAATGGCAAGCCTCCGGTGAGAAGCGGGAGGCGGAGCGGGAGCCCGACGTCGGCAACCACAGCTGGGTCTGCTGCCGCTGGGCTCGGGCGGGCCACCCTCGGCTGCAGTGTAGAGATCAGCTCGTGCGAGAAACTTGCAGCACCCCCCCCCCCATATCGGGGCTTCCTCCTAGAGGTCTGGCTCGGCTCGTGGACGGCCCGAAGCGGCCCGACCCTCCCACGACACGGAACCGTAGGGCGCCGTGATCCGTTCTGGCCCGCTCAATCCCGCTCAATCCTCCTCCTCCCTCCTCCTCCTCCTCCTCCTCCTCCTCCTCCTCCTCCTCCTCCTCCTCCTCCTCCTCCTCCTCCTCCTCCTCCTACTCACTCCTCCTCCTCCTCCCCCTCCTCCTCCTCCTTCTCCTCCTGCTCCTCCTCCTGTCCCTCCTCATCCCCCTCCTCATCCTCCTGCGCTTCCTCCTCCTACTCATCTTCATGCTTCAACCCTCCTCCTCCTCCTCTCCTCCTCCTCCTCCTCTCCTCCCTTCTCCTCCTCCTCCTATTCCTCCTCCTCCTCCTCCTCCTCCTCCTCCTCCTCCTCCGCATCCTCCTGCGCTTCCTCCTGCGGCTCCTCCTCCTCCTCCTCCGCTTCCTCCTCCGCCTCCTCCTCCTCCTCCTAATCATCATCAGCATCAGCATCAGCATCAGCATCAGCATCATCACCATCATCCTCATCCTCATCCTCCTCCTCCTCCTCCTCATCCTTCTCATCCGCATCCTCGACCTCATCCTCATCCTCATCCTCATCCTCATCCTCATCCTCCTCATCATCGTCCTCATCATCCTCATCCTCATCCTCATCCTCATCCTCAATCCTCATCTTCATCATAATCATCACCCTCATCCTCATCCTCATCCTCATCCTCTTCCTCATCCTCATCCTCATCCTCATCTTCATCCTCATCATCAGCAGCATCATCATAAGCATCATCAGCATCATCACCACCACCATCATCATCGTCATCATCAGCATCGTCATCATCATCATCATCACCACCATCATCATCATCAGCAGCACCAGCTGCATCATCATCATCATCATCATCAGCATCATCATCATCAGCATCATAATCAGCATCAGCATCAGCAGCAGCAATATCGTCATCACCACCACCACCATCATCATCATGATCATAATCATCATCACCACCATCATCAGCATCATCAGCATCATCATCATCATCATCATCATCATCATCATCATCATCATCATCATCATCTTCATCATCATCATCATCATCATCATCATCATCATCATCATCATCATCATTCTCCTCCTCCTCCTCCTGCTTCTCCTCCTGCTCCTCCCCTGCCCTCCAAACCATCCCTCCCCCCCCCCGCCCTCCCCATCGTCATCCTCTCTTCCCGGGACGTCGGCACTCGCCGCCGCTCCCCGCGGCCATCGCGCGCTCGCCCAACAGCCTCGGCCGGCTCCCCGGGCTGCACCTCGACGCCCGCCCCGATCTGGCCGAGGAGGTAGCAGCACCGAGCGGGCGGGCGGCGACGACGGCGACGACGACGACGACGACGACGACGACGACGACGACCGCACTCGACGACGGCAATGACGACGACGACGACGACAACGACGTCGTTCGACGACAACGACGACGACAATGACGACGACGACGGTGAACAAGACGACGACGACGACGACGACGACGAAGGCGCTCGACGACAGCGACGCCGACGACGACGACGATGACGACGACCACGACGGCGGCGGCGGCGACGACGACGACGACGACAGCGACCCACGACGACGACGACGGCAGCGGCGACGACGACAGTAAGGACGGCGACAATGCGGGGGGGGGGGAAGAGACAGCACCGAGCGAACAGGAGACGGGGTGGTCGGCGGGAGGAGCCCGGTGTGAGGAGAACGCAGGTCTCCTTGCGCCCCGACCGTCGAGCGCGCCCGCGCGAACGGGAGCTGCCGCGCCCTCCTCGAACATGTCGGAGGCGGTGGCAGCGTCGGCAGGGAGGCCGGGGTGCTTGTGATCTTCGGCGTGTATCTCACGGTCGCTGACGAAAGTCATGGCGCCTGCCATGGTGCAGCTGTTTGCGCTCCCCGCGTAGTTCCCTGCCAGATGCGCAAGGGAGCCATGCATGGAAAAGAACCCACCACTCGGGGGGCGCGGGGTGTAAATCTCCTGCCCCCCCAGCCACAGAAGAACGAACGCCTCCACGGCCGCGATCAGACGAGGGCCTGGGAACGGCGCGAAAACGTGCCATCGACGACGACGTGTGTAGAGAGAGCGCCAACTGACCAGCTCACCATCTCGTTGGTCGTGAGTAAGCGGTCTGTCATACGAAATGCGCAGCTCCCCCTGCTCAGAAACACGATGCCGAGCAGCCGCGCAGAGCTCTTCAACCAGCGCGGCAAGGACATCGGAGCACGCACCATCGCCAGCACTCTCGAAGACATGGCCGTGCTCTGCAAGCAGCAGCTGGGCCTTCGCGAGCTGGGTGCGCCACTATAGCCAATGCTGGCACGAGTCGAGACGGTCGTCTCGGAGCGCGATGCGCGGCGCCCATTGCTCTCAGCAGCGCGCGAGAAACGCCTTGAAGCCGAGTGCAACCGTCGCATCCCGATGCCTTGGAGGGCTGCGCGGCTGCCTGAATCCTCTCGGGGATCGCTTCCACGTTGGCCATTTGTTCACCGATGGCCTCGCAACCCATACGTTTGCCACGCGCAGAGCCGCCAGGCGAGGAAGGATAACCACCATGCTTACGAAACTGGACCACTCGTACAATCTATGGAGCGCGCCGATCAGCACCGCATCGGCAAGGATCACCATCATTTCCCCTGCCACCATCGAGACCGTCTTGGGGGTCTTCCCGTAGCGACCGATCCCCAAGCGCCCGCTGTCAGGCAATGCGACTGCCGTCGCCGGAGCTCGTGCCATATCTGGGCATTCGAGCCCATGCCTAGGTTTTAGCTCTCAGGTCCTCGTTGCTCATCGGCGGGAGGACTGGGCGAAACACGTGGTCCAGAAAGGGGGGGAATGTTCAAGGGGCCCCAGGACACATACATAAATACACACAAATAAAATGACCCCCCATATTTTCCCATATTTTCTGGGTTTCTGTCTTCCCGCCCACTTCCCATATGTTCCCACATTTACTGGGAAATCGTGGATTCCTTGTGTCTGTGTGTGTCTTTTCCTCCCGAAATGTGGCCGCTGCGCGCGCTGTGGCGAGATTGCAGGATCGGTGATCTCGTTGGCTCGAGCGCGCCCGCGGCGTCCACGCGCCGCCTCCGATCTCCGAGGCCCGAGGCCTCTGCGCGGAGGTCCACAGCGCTTTCCAAACCTGGCACGCAAGGAGCTCGACATGGCCTCCATGTGACGAACGACCAACACACACCCATACCCATAGGGGGGTCGTTGGGAGGAGAACTGGCTATGGGTAGGGGTGCGGGTTGTCGGACCCTGGGGAACGCTCCCGTTCGAGCGGGGACCCCCCTCCGACAACACGCAGCCATAGCCCTCTCCGACCCCTCTATGGGTATGGGTGCGTGTTGTTGGTTCGTCATCCATGCGTTGCCAGTGCGAGACAAGACCGCCTCGCAAGAGAGTCAGACAGTCGCGCGCGCGCGACGCTGAGATTCTCATCCCGGGCTCGACCGCGCGAGGCACGTAATTAGAGTAGCAAAGACCACGCGCGGCGCGCACTCGTCGCTGCGCTCGTCGAGGGCAAGGCAGACTTCGCCATTGGACATGCAGAGCCATGGCTCCGCAGCGCCCACGAGGTGGTTGGCGACGCACAACGCGCCGGGCGCCCCGCGATCTCGATGCTGCGCGGCGGAGGACGGCCCATCGCAGGAAGACGGGCGGGCGCGCGCGCCAGTCCGCGCGAGACAGGCCGACAAAGAACCCGCACTCCGACCAAAACAACAGTTGCGAGCACTGGCGCGACACCATGCTGCAGCAACTGCAGGTCAAGGTTGAGGACGGCAAGTTCATCATCAACATCACTATCACCATCATCATTCTCATCATCGTCATCACTATGCGCCAGGGGCGTGACTTCAGCAGGGGGGGCGCCGCCGTCGCGACGCAGCGGGAACAGCTGCGAGATCGACAAAACGTTTGCTTAAGCCACGCAGAAACGGTACATCGCCGGGAAATGGGGCGCCAGCAGCAACATGATAACACCAACACCATCAGGCCAAACGTGAGGTGCAATTCCGCTTCCGTCGCCATCGCGATCAGGAGCCGCCGGCGCGAGTGACGCCAGGCGCATAATAAGCTCAAAAGAGGCAGGAGCAACGAGCTCAGCAGATGCCCTTTGCGCGTCGGCTGCTTCGGCGCAGACGACGCCAACGTCGCGAGGGAAATCGCAGACAGCAGAATGGCGCCGAATGGCGCCGAACTCTCGTCATCGCCCGGATGAGTGGCTGCTTGCTGCGGCTGTGCTGGTGGCGCGACCTGAAACTCCGACTCAGGCCGCCTGCCTCTGCGCTGGGGTGACCAACCGCTCCGAGCAAGAGGGCCCTCCTGCTCCTCCTCCTCCTCCTACTTTTCCTCCTCCTTCTCCTCCTCCTCCTCCTTCTTCTCCGAAGACCAACCGCTCCGAAGAAGAACCGCGCGCGCCTGCCCGCGCGCAGGGTCGGCGCAGCCGAAGCGGGCCCGAGCCAGCGCTCCAAGTCCGCGCCGGCCACGGCGTCAGGCGGGCGCAGGGCTCCGAGCGGCGAGCTGTCCCTCGACGAGGCGCCGCGCGGTCGTGGAGCTCGCCGAACGCCAGAGCATCTCGGGGTGCTGCTAGAAGTGCCCCTGGCTCAAGGTGCCCCCAGCTTTTCGCACCATTTTGAGGAGGAGGAGGAGGAGGAGGAGGAAGAGGAGGAGAAGGGAGGAGGAGGAGGAGGAGGAGGAGGAGGAGGAGGAGGAAGAGGAGGAGGAGGAGGAGGAGGAGGAGGAGGGGAGGAAGAAGAGGAGGAGGAGGGGGAGGAGGAGGAGGGGGGGGCCCCCTGGGCCTCGTGAGGGGGTGCCCTGGAGGCCGTCAGGGCCACCCCGGGCATCCGGGGGGTCCTTGAGCCAGGGGCACTTTTAGCAACACCCGAACATCAGGAGCTGTCGGGAGGAGGAGGAGGAGGAGGAGGAGGAGGAGGAGGAGGGGAGAAGGAGGAGGGGAGGAGGAGGAGGAGGAGGAGGAGGAGGAGGAGGAGGAGGAGGGGGAGGAGGCGGAGGAGGAGGGAGGAGGAGGAGGAGGAGGAGGAGGAGGAGGAGGAGGAGGAGGAGGAGGGAGGAGGAGGAGGAGGAGGGAGGAGGAGGAGGAGGAGGAGGAGGAGGAGGAGGAGGAGGAGGAGGAGGAGAGGTCGCGAAGAGCAATCACATGTCTGTCGGCCTCGGCATCAGGATGGGACTCGTCCCGGGACGAAATGGAGCCATTGGGCAAGTCAGTCGGAGGGTCGAGGTCCATCGCGCGCTCGATACTGCTGCCGAGGCGAAGATGATGACAAAGACGAGGTTTAGGGCGCGACAAAAGCTGAGCATGCCACCCCGAGACGCCGCGCTCTCATGTGGGCGCTTTTCGACCAACGCCAGGTCGTTCGGCAAATAATTGACTGTGTTCCTGTGCGCGCAACGCGGCTGCGAAGGTCCTGTCCTGCTCACAGCCAGACCGAGGGCGTGCGAGAAAGCGTTGAAGACGTGAACGTTGAACATGCGAGCTGGGCCAAGCTTGACGACGCACCTCTGCTGCGTCGTGTTCTCCCGCTCCAAGCCACTCCGCCCCGGCGCTGCGAACGGCGGCGAGAAGATGTCGCAGCGCAATGATGTAACCGACTCACCTTTCCATCCAACTGCCGCAAACCTCCCATGGAATAACGTAAACAACCAGACGGAAGCCCAGTCGCAGGCCGCCTCTCAAACCGAACGACGAAGTCGTCGCGCGCGCTGCAGCGCGTGAGTCTCGGGATGATCCACGCCGCGGACAGAAGTGATCCGCACCGCGGAAGATGCCATCGATGAAAGGAGCGTCGATGTCGGGTGACGGAGCTGTCTGTTCATCGGGCAGGGAACGGGCGACCGCCCCGAGGCGCCGACAGACCATGCATCAGGCATTTGCCCCGCACCCCACAAAGAGAGGGCTGGGGGAGATGATGACGCGGGCGCAGTGCCTGACCATGCGCGCGGCGCCCTCGAAGACGGACGGCGGCGCCGAGCGCGCCCGGGGCGCGGAGCGGAGGACGGGAGAGGCAGCGGAGAAGGCACAGAGCCGCGAACTCACGCATGATGGGGCGCTCCAGGCCGCGCTGCAATCGGTCTGGCTGGTCGGGGCAGCCGATGCCACGAGGCAGTTTGCACATCGGATGCAGTGGTCTGGCGTGTTCCATGCGTCAGCGACCGTCACGGGGTATGTGAAGGCTCGCAAAGTCAAACATGCGTTGAGCAACCGCATCTCGCCCGACCATCTGCCATGAGGGGCAACAGACGCTCGTCTTGATAGAAAAGACCTGGTCGGACCAATCTCACCACGCAAGCACACCACCAGGAGCATGGGGCGAGGACCTTCTCGGCGAAATCGGCGGCGGTCAGCTGGGCACCTCGCGCCGCAAGAGGAGGTGGAAGAGCTTGGCGCTGACGAGCAGCCCCAGCACCACCTCGAAGGACTCCCAGAGAGTAGCTTGGGACCCTCTGGTAGGAGGCTTGGGAGGCTGTGCCTTGACCAGAGTCAGTGCAGCACGGGGTCCTTTGATTCCTTTTCGGGCGTTGACTAGGGCGGTGCCGTGCTCGTCGATGCGGTGTTCACCCTCACCGATCCGATTGCCATAAACATCAGGCTGTTCTGGGAGACGTAGCGTGAGGAGTCCAGCTTGTCGGCGCTTATATTATCGGCTGCAGCTCCAGCGAACTTGAAAATATGACGTAACATGTCCCGCATGTTCGCAGACGACTCGGCCTGCTCATCAAGCTGGTCCCCAATATGCCTGGTCTGATCCTCGCCTGAGAGGCAGACGACGGCCTTGACTTCAGCGATGAGGGGATCTCGAGGCGGCCAATTGGGCCAGCACGACCTGGCAGATGTAGTCGTCCTTGCAGGGCTCGTCACCCCCAGATTCGGGTTTGTCCCCCGCAGACTTGCCATCATCATCATCATCATCAGCATCATCATCATCAGCATCATCAGCATCATCATCATCACCATCATCATCAGCATCATCATCACCACCATCATCGCCATCAGCATCATCTTCATCAATATCATTAGCATGATCAGCATCATCACCATCATCCTCACCCTCACCCTCATCATCCTCATCATCCTCATCATCCTCATCATCCTCATCATCCTCATGGTCATCCTCATCCTCCTCCTCCTCATCAACATCACCATCGCATCCCCTCATCACAACCACAAAACTTGGGGAGAAGGGGGCCGCTGACGAGGCTCAGGACGAGCACTGGCACGCTCAGCATCATGGCCACGATGGTTGCTATCGCCCCGCCGCTCGACCTTCTTGCCGCCGGCAGCCACGCGCCGACGCGCCCCGCGCGCGCCCAGCAGGGAATGACCGCGGGCCAGTGGTATGCACTTCACCCCCAGCGGAAGCAGACACCTTGAGCCAAAAGGGGCACGGATGCTCAGTGCGATGAGGTGGAAAAAGGGATGATGGAGGCGGCGGAGTCGATGAGGAACGGAGGGGTGGTACCTTTTTCTTTTGTTAAAAAAAGAACGGAAGGGTGGTACCTGTTCTCCACATTGATTTGTCTACAGGGGTCCTAGTCCAGCGAGTAGAGAGCAGGTCCAGTGATGACCACCCCCCCTGTACGTTTCCCGTCCACGGCCCAGCTGTTGCAATAGCTTCCTCGACTCCTGCAACGGCTTCCTCTGCGACTGCAATGACTTTCGGTGCTATTGCGACGGCTTCCTCTGCTGCTGCTGTTGCAACCGCCACCTGTGACTATTCCCCGGCAGTCGTCAACAAATCGGTAATCTAAGAAGCAGTGACGACTAAGGCAGACTACATTAGAGTAGAATATACTAGAAGAGGGCGGTTCAGAGTAGAGTAGAACGGACTAGAGTAGATCATATTAGAGTCAGTTCGAGTAAAATCGTGTAGGGAAACCATGAGAGTAGAGAACAGCAGAGTAGAGGACGGTCGAACAGGCTAGAACATTAAGAACGTAGCGTAGAGTATAATAGAGTAAAGTAAAGTACAGCTTGTAAAAGTAGTGCGGAGCAGGTTAGAATGCCGTAGTGCAAATGGTGTATTATAATCGAAAAGCGTAGAAGAGAACAGAGGAGAGCAGGAGTACGTTAGAGTAGGATCGAACAGACTAGGGTAAATGGTTCACCAGAAGTGATTAGAATACTGTAGAAGTAGGGCTGAGTAGACTAGAAAAGGGCAGGAGTAAAGTTTGAGTAGACGGGAGTAGGCTGGACCACAGTTAAGTCGATGCATGGAGTATATCAGACTGTAAGTTTCATATTGAGAGGGCCAGAGTAGAGGAGACTAAGACTGAGTATGCTAGAAAATGAGTAGAGTAACGTAGAGTAGACAAAAATGGGTTAAGGTAGGGTAGAACAATGTCGAGCAGCGCAAGGCAGAACAAGGGAAGGGTAGACGATAGCGTGGAGCCTTTGTTGGAAGAGAATAGAGTAGACGAAAAAGACAGAGCAAAGTCGAATCGGAGCAGAGTCGGGTAGGAAATTACTAGGGTAGAGAAGGTGCAAGGCATAGTACGTAGCAGGGTAGAGCAGGGTAGAAAGAGCACGGCAGAGAAGGATAGTTGGTAGAGTAGAGTCGAGTAGGATAGGGTAGAGTAAAATAAAGTGGGGCAGAGTCCACCACAGTCTTTCCCAGTCTACTTCAGTCCAGAGTCCACTCCAGTCGACGTCATGTCAATCTTCTGGTGCGTTTCGACTCTGCGCCGGCTGATCTCGACAGCAGCCCCGAAACGAGACCGACCGGGGAACGACTGCCCGCCAGGCTCTGGCACTCTCGAAGTAACGGGACCTCGGCAGACCTCAGACTGGTTTACCCAACCTGTGGACCTCTGTCTGAGCCCCCTGAGTTAAGAGAGGCCTCATAGATGGGGTCCGAGTAGATGGGTTCGCAAGGTCTCGCCGCACCGCCGATACATCGGCGATACATCGGCGATGCACCGCCGATGTATCGTCGACGTCGGCGATGCATCGGCGACGTCGACGCGAAGCAAATGGGGCCCCACATCGAGCCGCTTCGGCGATGCATCAACGATGCGGCGCGATCCTCCGACCCCATCTACTCCGATTCCATTTAGGAGGTCTAGATGAGTCAGCTCGTGGACGGCCGACTCCCTCTTTTCCCCCTCGATGCGAATTTACCGGAGCACGAGGCAGGGCAGGGCCGCTGGCATCGCCCGTGGTCTCGCCTCTGGCCAGGGCGGGGCAACTTCCACGGGATACGAACTCTTGCAAGACATCACCACGTCCTTCCTGGGCAGAGTGACTGGCCCTCGTCGCTATAGGAGCATCATCATCATCAGAATCATCGTCATCATCGTCATCATCATCGTCACCATCATCATCATCAGCAGCATCATCATTCTCATCTTCGCAATCATCATCAGCAATAGCATCGCCATCATGACCAAGGACATCATCATGAGTAGCAGCAGGAAGCACCGGCAGCAGCATCAGCATCAGCAGTATCAGCTTCAATATCCTCATCATCAACACCCTCATTATCATCAACAACCTCATCATCATCGTATGCATCATCATACTCACCGTCATCAGCCTCATCATCAGCCACTTCCGCCTCATCACCACCATCGTCATCATCATCAACAGCATCAGCATCATTATCATCCTCATCACCATAACCATCGTTATCACCGTCGTCGTCATCATCACGATCTCAGCCTCGCCACCTACATCGCCAACCTCACCAACAACGACATCATGATGCATCGTTGGCTTAATGCCGTTCGCCATGCCGTCACGTCAAACTCGCGTAGAATAATCATCAACATTCTCATCCTCATCGTCCTCATCATCACCACCACAACCAGCATCATCATCATCATCATCATCATCATAAGCATCACTTGCAGCATCGCCATCATCGCCATCGCACACAGCACCATCGCCATAACCATCCCCTATCATCGAAGCCATTCGTCAGAACATCTTTTTGATGACGATTATCAGCATCATCCGCATCATCATCATCAGTGATGATGATGATGCTGATGATGATGACGATGATGACGATGCTTGACAGCTTGACGTGGCCTAACAACTTGACGTGGCCTTTCGTCGACCACGAGAGCACAACTGAACGCCTTCTAAAGTCGGGCTCGATCTCTGACCCCCAGCCACACTGAACTCATCACCTATCTGCGTGGTGCCGTCGGCTCGATGTTCCCAGACAGGCCTCCGGGCACATCCGGCCGGCTGCGCGCCGCGGGGAGCACCCCGGACGCGTGGGGGCCTCGGACGGGCCGTTGGGCGTTACGGGCGTTGACTTCCTGGGGGTCTCTTTCCCAGACCCCCTTCGAATAATGAAAAAATCATGACGAAAGGTTTTCCTTCGTTTTCGGCCTCCAGGGGCCCTCACCGGGCCTCGGGAGCGTTAGAAAACGACTCAGGATGCGAAACCGGTCCCGGGGAAAGGGTCGGGACCTCTGGGGGTCGACGTCATGAAAAAATCACGACGTCGGGGGTCTGGGTTGGGGGCCCAAAGAATATACACCACCACCGCGTCGATTCCTCCTCTCTCCCATTTCCAGCGAGAGGGATTCTTCGTCAGGCTAACTCTGAAAACTTCACAAAATTGGCGTTGCAAAACCACGTGGCGCGCAACATTGGTGTTGCGAAATCACGCGTTGCAAACCAGAGCGCAAGCGCAAGCACAAACCACGTGCGAAAAATTCGCGCTGCGAAAGCACGGATGCGCCCTCGAAGTTCTTCTTGGGGCCCCGGGCGAGAAGATTCAGCTACGGGCGGCGCTTGCTTTGAGCACCGCCAGGGCCCGAGGCCCAGGATCTCGCGGCGCTCGGTCATCGGCCGCGCCTGGTCAGTGTGCCCCGGGGCTGATCAGGACTCCGAGGCCATGATCGGGGCGCCCTGGCCCTCCCATGCGGCCTCGTTCGCGGAGACACCCGCCAGCTCGGAGGGGGCGCCACAGCGCCTGAAGGCCAATGCGGCACCTGCGAGCACCGCGGCTCCCCCGATCGCTCCCAGGCCGATCGTCGCAACGCTCGCGAGAGACCGCTGCCCTGCCAACGGCAGGCCGTCCATCACAGAGTACAGCCTGGTTTTCTTGGTGTCATGATTCCCGTCGCCGAGGGCGCACTTCTCCTCGCCGTCCTTGCAGTGGGGGCACTCCTTGTACAGGTCGCCGAGCGCCTGCTCACAGATCAGGTCCTTCACTGCATCTGGGTCGTTGGAATCGGTTGCGAAGACCTCCTTGGCCTCCTTCCCATCGCGGGCGTTCGAAATAACCTGGACCCTATTCCTGTACCAGAGGCAACAAGAGTCCGATTCGCCGCAATTCGAGTTCTCATCCTTTTTCCGTCAGCATCCGATGTCACAGCTGACGGGGCCGACAGAATCCCACCAGGTGAAGATTTCTCCGCACCCGGGGGCATCAGCGGTGGCCTGCAGGAGTGCGGCGGCCGCGAGCACCAGGCGGGCCATCGCGGTAGGGGTTTCGGGCCGATTGAAGCAAAGAAACCGCGGCCTGCGCCGGCGGGGGCGGGCTGAACCAAAGCGTCTTGAGCTCAAATGGCTTGAGCCAAAATGGCTACGGGGATTTTCCAGCGAGAGGGACTTGGGGAGGGAGGCGGTGGTGGTGTATATTTTTTCGGGCCCCCCATCTCTTGGAAACCTCTTGGGAGCCTCTTGGGGGGCTTGGTTTGGGGGGCCGTCTTCGGGACGTCTGGAGCTGTCTGGGGCCGTCTGGAGGCCGTCTGGGCCGCGGTCCTGCCAAGGGGGGTCCAGTCACCTGGATGTTGCTCCAGGTACGCCTGCGCCGCTGACTTTGTTGCTTTGTGTTTTGTTTTCTCTCGCTCTTTCTCTCCCTCGCTCTCTATCTCCTTCTATCTCTCACTTGTTGTTTGTTTCTCTCTCTCTATATTCCTTTCTCTGTTCGCTCTCTCTCTCCTTTTCTCTCACTCCTTTTTGTTGTTTCTCTCTCTCTCTCTCTCTCCCTCCCTCTCTCTCATATATATATAGATAGATTACACCTGCGAAAACCCAATCAGTGGATGATTTGATGGATACTATGGATCTTGAGATCGATTGTGAGATCGATAATGGAATCGATAGTGTAATCGATAGTGAGGACGATTGTAAGGTTGATCGTGGGACCGAGTGTGAAATCGACTCAATGAGATCGATAATGAGATCGCTCGCGAGATCGCTCATGCGATCTCTAGTGAGATCGCTTGTGATATTGATAATGAGATCGATTGTGAGATCGATCGATAAG